TAAACTTTAAATAGGATGGTGGTATTCTCCTCTATATCCAAGTTGCAGGATCCAGCTTAGTGGCCAAGCTACTCTGGCATAATTTTCCACAGCCAGTTCCAAAAATATTAACCTTAAACTTGCCCATGGCATGCTGATATTTGCAGGATGGCTCTCATTGTCACTCCTGGATGAAACAGTAGAGACCAAAATATTCTGCAGGGCTGGGAATGTCAGCCTCTCAGACCAGCTGATAGGAATGTCTTTGGTTTGGTGTGTCCTGAAGTCCATGCACTCCTAAGTTCCTAATTTAGGACAACACATACCAAGTGTCACTGAGAAAAACCCATTGTGTCCCATCAAGTGTTTTGAAGCCTTTTCTGCCTCCTGGCTGTTTCACAGGATTATTCTACATGCCTGTCCTCTAACTGGAAGAAAAATTCTCGACTTATGGGAGATTTGGATCATTTTTTGGCCTTGCACAGCCAGGGCAGGAGTGAAGGGCATCACTTCTCAGCTGGAACGAGATAAAGTTGCTGCCAGGCAGGCAATGAGGGCTGTCCCTAGAGCACTTCTGGGCCCCTCCCTCATCTCCCCTGGACTGTGCAATGATAAAAGGACAGGGACACTGGAGAACTCATGTGAATGCCATCAGTGCCACCTACTGCTCTGTGTCACAAGTACAGTGTGTGTGCAGCAGTGACTGCTACAAACCCTGTCCTTCCCTCCTCTCTAATTAGACTCAATGTCTACGCATTTTAAACATCCATGTCTGATTTTTTTCTCCACAGTTAATTTAGGCAAACCTGGAAACCACAGTTCTGTTCAAAGCAAGCCAGTCCTAGACAATTATCTCCTCTTAAACTTCCACACATGGAAAGTGTCTCTTCCCCTACAGGCACCTTCTCACTTGCAGCCAGGGAGACTGAGGTTGATATTCCAAGAAAAAAAGGTTGTCTGGAGTGGTTCTGGTGTAAAGGCTGTGGTATGAAGACAAAACCCACAACTTACTTTTTGGGGTGATATACTGAGTTAGTTTTTGCAGAAAACTTTGCTCTACCTAAATAGGAGCTGGATCGAAGTGTGCAGACTAGACAATAGCCTAGAGGTAACATTTTCAAAATGAGATTTAGGTAGAGCAGAATGCACACCATCATCCCTGAATTGCTCTCTCCTAGAGAGCAATTGCTCTCTCCTAGAACTCTAGGAAATTTGGGAAAAACAATACACACACTTTGTATAATTCTCTCCAAAGACCTTGCAAATTCAGCCTTCTTATTGTCCAATATTCTTGCAAACAAAATTATTTCACTTCTGTGGGCTGAAAAAGAATTTGGTGGGGTAACAACTGGTGTATGGCAGAATTGCAACACAATGAATAATGTATTACCAAAGGGCATCTGTACAGTTTGTGATAAGAACAATATGAGAAGCTAGGCTGGACTCAAAACCAGTCTCACTGGCTTCCAGATTTCTGGGAAATATTTTAATCAATGTTATATTTTAAAAACTAGTCTTTCTGGTATGTTTCTATCTCCCCACTTCAGCATCCGGCCTCTGTTTGGTGAAAAAGGAGCAAACTGGATGATCATAGTCACAATCTTTCCCTGCCTCTGGGACAAAAATGACTCATTGTTCTAGTAGCAGCAGAGTGTTCATTTCAGCTCTTGTACCTCACTGCACCTCACAGGGAGGACAGCTAAAGGTTGCCCTTCTTAATGTCAGAATACAGCTTTTCTTCTGAAAAGCTTTTATTTTGTCTTACTATATGTGCACAGCAATACATGGCCTCCTTTATGGCCCTAAACCCAGATAACTCCAGCTGCACCCCAGATATCCCATAGTTAACCCTTGCAGGCCATAAATATGATGAATAGGGCCCTTTGCCCTCTGGCAATTAAGAGCATTTGCAGGGATGAAAGCTTCTGGACTATCTGTTGGAGCTTGCCTTTTCTGGGCACTTCAAATACTTTTCCCTCACTAACAGAAAAACAGGAATTTGGGATGGCATTGGGTGAAAAAAAAAACTCCTTAAGACATGTAGATTGGATAAAATTAAATGTAGTCAGAATATGAAGGAATGCTGAAGTTCACTGTGCTACTGAGCACTTTTTATCAGTTAAAAACTGATTATCTCCAAACTGCCAAAGGTGAGTTGCTCCCAGGTTCACTCAAGGATGGCATTGCCAGTGCTTGTGGAATTATCTCATGGTATCTGAGCATTCTTCTAACTCCTTTGCCAAGGTTTAAGGAATTATATAATCTTTTGTTAAATTCAAACAGTAAAATAATTATCATCTTATTACAAACAGAAGCTGGAAAAACATGACACTCAAGAACCTGAAAACCACAGATTATGTGAGGAGCTTGAAAAATTTAATGCTAAACTTTAGTTCATTGTTGTAAAATTATTTGCATGTTTTTCAGGCTTTTGAATGCTTAGGGACATAGGTATGTCAGTGAACCAGTGCCACTGATTATCTGGCATCACTACTAGAGGGTTTTTTAGAGGGATGGAACACCTCTGCTATAAGGAAAGGCTGAGGGAACTGGGACTGTTCAGCCTGGAGGAGCCTCTGGGGTGATTTTATTATGGAAGAGACACTACAAGAGAGCTGCAAAGGGACTTTTTACAATGGCCTGGAGTGACAGGAAAAGGGGTGATGGCTTTAAGCTGAAAGGCCCTGGCACAGGTTTCCAGAGCAGCTGTGGCTGCCCCTGCATCCCTGTCAGAGTCCAAGGCTGGGCTGGATGTGGCTGGGATAGTGGAAGGCGTCCCTGCCCATGGCAGGGGCTGGAATGAGATCTTTAAGGTCTCTTCCAACCTAGACCATTCTGTGATACTGTGGTCCCTGGAGAGGTAAGTGATGTGAACAGTTTTGATTTCAGCACCCTGAGAGCTGTGTAAGGACCTGCAGAGCACAGTGGCCCCCAGGAGCAGTGGGGATGGGGGCCCCACACCCACAAATCCATCAGCTTTCCCTCAGGGAAGCTACAGCTCCTGGGATTTACTTACAGAGAGGGTGATCATGCTCGGTGCGGTCAGTGAGGGGTGCCAGGGGCTCACTGCACCCCTGTCACCTTTAAAATGAGAAGTTTGGCTGTGTATTCATTTCCACAGGGTGAGGAGAACCTGTGGGATGGGGATGAACCTGTCAGCTCGTTTGTTCTCCACGCCTCACCTGAGGTGGCCTTTGTGCACCCCGCAGCTTTAGGCCTCACCCTCAGCGTGAATGTGCCAGGAAAGGAATGAAACTGTAACTTGGGCAGATCTGGTGTTCATAAATTAAGTGAGCCTTAATGAATTACTGGTTTTTCTTTTAAATAGCATGGGTTTTTAGGTAGTGGATGATCTGGTTTCCTACCTACTGCAGGTAGTAAAAGCCACAGCTGCTCTAAACATAATGGTTCTCGGCCAGGCCTTTTTTTTAGAAACTGGTGAATAGGGCAACTCAAACCATTGAGACAAAATGACATTCAGCCAATAAACCCCTGAATATCCCTGGTCTCTTACCAGGCTCTTTTCTGAGACAGCTCCAGTTCTTAACTCTGCAAAAAAAGGTTTCCTGCACCCTTAGGTATTTTCAGTGAGCTGTATCCACCAGCTCAGGGACGGGTCTGAGTGCTGTGAATGCAGAGAGGGCACAGAGTGTGGAAGAGCAAGTCTTGTGGAGGGTAGGTACTCTTTAAGGCAGGCTCAGCTGTGCCATGCATTATGTATTCTGTCTAAGAGACTTCTATGCTGATGGGCTGCCTGTCTCCTAAACCAATTGTCAGACTTGCTTTGCCCCAGGTGAGCTCAGAGCCTTTCCTCCTATGGCTGCTGCTGCAGTGGTATTCTCCACAGTGCCAGAGATGTCCTGGAGCTCACCTGGAGATTTGCTCCCTGCTGAACTGTGGGTTTTGGGCAAGTTGTGCTCTAAGCTCAGAAACAGAGCCAGCTGGCGCAGCTGTCCCAGCAGCATTGGCTTCTCAACCAGATGTGTAATATAAGCATCTAACAAGCAGGCAGCTGCTCTGGGGAGCTGTGAGGATCTCAGGCTGTGAATTAGGGACCAGCATCTCTGTCAATGTGTGTTCAGTGCTTGCAGCATCCCAGCTCTGTGCTGGAGAAGACAGGGGCATGCTGTGCCCTGACGTGGTACTCACTAAGCTCCCTGGGTGGAGGACATGGGCCCAGGGGCCAGGAAAGATCTGTGGCATAGAAAAAAATCCAAACAGGTGGAAAATCAGGACTGCAAGGAGGGGCAGAGTGCATGCCAAAACAGGGGTAGAGCCTTTGTAGCTCTGTAAAAGCTGGCAGAGCTGCAGAGCTGCTAAACAGCCAACAGCTGATGCAGAGTCCTGGGAGCCGAGCTGGAGATAATTGTGGAGAGAGGAGATGAGGTAAACTCAGGCTTACAGACTGCTGAACTGAAAAAGAAGAGCTAACAGCATTTAACCTGGCAAGGAACCTGAGAGACATCATGTAAAATGAGTGTACTCTAACTCCTGCAGATGGCCAGCAGGTAGGAAAACTCCAGGGTGTAAGGGGAGGGTGTGTCTGGAGGGGAGGACTCAGGGGCTGGACTCACATCAGGTGGTGAACTCAAAGTGTCCTCCCTGTTGGAGTTAGCTCAGGGCGGTGCTGACTTTACAACCCTCCAATGTCAACTGCTCCTGAGGTGCTGGTGGAGACTGAATGCTGTGGTTCAGGAGCTAAAAATCCTTTTTTACCTCCTTCTGAGAGAAGACAAAGAAAGAGCTGTGGCCCCAAAACAGTCGAGACCTTTCTCAGGTCAGTGTTAAATTCTTACCTCTCCCAGCAGCTGCTTCTCAAGCCCTGAGGATTTCACTGAGCCAATTTAATGCTGGTGGTCAGACAGTTTAAACTCATTAGCTCCCAGCTATCTGAATAATTTTCTCCTGGGATCCCAGCACACAGGCAGACTGCTCTAACCAGAACTGCAGAGCACTGCCACGGGACCTGGACTTTGCTGACTGCTGTGGCCTGCGTGGTGAGCACTCAGGGGCTGAACAAAATGCCACTGGCGAGATCCTTGTCCATGACATCTCTGAATGGGCTTCTTCAGTGTGAGGATGAAGACCTGCCCGTGGAGGATTTGTTGCTCTTTGAAATTTCTTGGGAGGTTACCAACAAAGGTTTGTACCACACTTGGGGGTTAGTATTGCTGTTTTCTCAGGAGTGGAGGGAGGGAAAGGATGGAGAAGAAAGGCATTCAGAGGGAGATTGGAGAGGGCTGCAGAGCTGCTGGATTGGGAGAAGTGGAGGTGTGTAGTTGTGCATGCTGAGCATGGGGTGCATCTGCCTGGGCTTGTGTGGGATGGGCAGAGCCAGGATGTCTCTGTGACTTTTTGTGTTCCACCACCGCGGGGGGGGGGGGGGGGGGGGTTTGAACATCTAAGTGATAAGTCTGAGTGTGCAGCTATCTAAATTGCTTTGCACATACTTAGGTTTTGCCTTCCATGCAAATTCACTTAGGAATGTCATGCATGGAAATGAGCTGTACAACAGAGATCAGATGCACAGCAGTTTAGCAGCCCCCCCTCAGCCTTCCAGAGCAGTGTGGAGAAGAGGCCAGGCCTGGAAGGGGAATAAATAAATAGAGCTGTGTACAGCCACTGAACAAAACCCAGGAGTCAATGACCAGCGGCCTTTGTGTGCCAGCTAAAACTCTTCTGGACTGCTCTTTGCAAACACAGGTGGTGCCAGACAGGGCTTCATTTGTTCATTGGTTGCTGCTGGTCAGGCAAAGGGCACGCTGCTTACTAGGCAAAAATCCTCCTGCCTCTATTTCTAATTCATTCATCAAATCATCCCCTTTCAGGTAGGTATAGTTCTGCAAGCTTCCATTTTCACTGCAAAAGTGAGTTAATATGAGTAAATGATTGACCTCCTGTGTGTTATTGTCCTGGCAGACAAACAGAGTTTAATCAGGAGAGGAGATCTGTAAACTGTTAAGAATTTAACTTTAAAGAGGAAATGTGTGTGAGAGGAACAGGCAGTACTGGGGTTTATCCCCATGGGGAAACTCAAATTACTGTTCTGTAATAATTTCTGCTGGTTTGCATTGCTCTTTTTAGGCTGGTGAGCCTTATCAATACCGAGAGGTGAGACAGAGTAGATTTGGCTGTTTGAATCCCTGTGGGCTTGTTTTTCAGTAGCTTCAGCCAAGCTTTTAGAGTTAAATTACAAAGGCCACAACTTGGAGCATGCAGCATTCACTTTTGCAGTGTGCATAATAAGTAAGGCTCTGGCAAGCAGATGGCAGCAGAAATCTAGGAAATTCAGGAGTTCTCACTGACTTCTCTGAACTCCACAGCATACATATTTTCTGAGTCATGTGGACCCAGTGGTTGTAGATATCACACAAGATTTTTAAGAGAAGATAACCCAATTAGATTTTCCCAGAGCATGTACAAAATGTAGTGAATCATTTAATCATCCATAGAGCTCTGGCTGACTTCACTGGAGCCAAATCAACGGACACAGCTAAAATTTACCATTCACACATTTTATGAGAGAATTAATATTAATAAAGTCAGTTTTATTCAGTGTGTTTAAAAATAAGGTGCCTTTGCTTACACCACTTTCCAAGCCCATATATTCAGACAGGGCTGAAGGAACATGGAATGGAAAGCAATTTCTTCATTAGAATCTGACCTTCTGCAAAGCTTCCACTAACCAAGCTCAGCTAGAAACATCTGTGCAAAATATAATATATTTTAATTTATTATAATTTTATAATCCTTTTTCAGCCTATTTTTCTGGTAAATTCTTGATTCTGAGGTTTTGGGGTTTTTTTCAATATCTCCCAGGCAATTCAATGTCTAAGTCACGTGGTGAGAACTGTTCCCTGGTGACCTAACTTTTATAAACAGTTCTGGGAAAATGTTACAGCACTGTGAGAGAGAGTAGACAGCAAAATACAGGGAGAGTCATCACAGAAGATATATAAGCTTAGGAAATAATAGCTTGTAATGTATATTTCCTAGCTCCTTTAGCAGGAGGAATTGTTTGTTTGATGAAATAAACTGACCACACAGAGATTTAGCTCTACTGCATGTTTTAGGGTTTGTGCTGCTGCACATGTTCCTAACATAGAGGGCAAGATAAGCATTATCTGGATTTATTGCCTGACAAGCTAATTTTGAGCATTTAACGTGAAGGTTTCTGCCTTCCTTTCTGTCAATGCAAAGGCGTGTCAGAGGAGCTCAGCCTGAAGTTGGTTTGCATTTCTGAGGTGGTGTAAAGCTGCTGCTGCCCACAGGAGCGAGTCCCAGTCTTTATTTTGGTGCATCACCAGGTGCTTGGGTATGTTTCCTCCTTGGCCAGTGCTGCTTCTTAATAATCCCTCCATTTCTCTCATGGCACTGACAATCAGGCTGAACTGTCCTCTTTCTGTGAGGAAGGTGATGGCAGAGCTCACAGGTGAATATCCATCCCCACACACTGTAACCAATGACCTTTACAGGAGGAGAGCTGAACCTCTTCAGAGCCAGGGATGGCAAGGGAGTCCTGCAAATCAGAGAATATCTGATTCTGTAGAGGGGGAGCATGGCATTTCCCTGATGGTGCTGGTTGTTACTGAGGCTTGAGGTGCAGCTGTAGGGAATAAGATGGTTGTATGAACTCAGGGCTCAGAGATCTACAAGAATCCATTATTTCCAGAGTCTCATCTCTTCTTTGTCAGCAGCTGGGACAGGGGAGTTTTCTCCCCTTTTGTTTTAAGAAGGGATAATTTAAAAAGTTCTCTAACAAGGAAGAGTTTCTACTTCTCCATATTTCCTTTTTGTATTTTCTGTCCTGGCTTCAGCCTGTGCTAAGTAACATCCTCTGACACAAAACATTGGCCTCTCAGTTACACCTCTCACTCTACTCTATCTGAGCAAGCAAAAGTAAGGTAGCTGAAGGAGAAAATGGGAAATGAAAAAGGCTCATCTGCCAATGTCACTCTCCCTCACCCTTCCTCCAAGTCATGAGAGGGAACTTGCCACTTAAACCAAAAACAATATTGAAATCCTCTCGCATTGAAAGTCCTCTGCCAAAGAAATAAGAAATGAGTAGGTTTTTTTGTGGGATTTCCCTCACTTTAGTTGGCTTTTCACTGATAAGCAAAACCTTATGTGAAGTGCATCTACAGTGTTTCTGTGGCAGAAGGGGAAAAATGCAGGCAGTGAAGGGTCCCAGTCCATTGCAGTGACACAAATCTGGTGGTAATTGTGGGGGAGATCAGCATTTTTAACTCTCTCTCTCTCCTGGCCATCATGCTCTAGTAAAACAAGGTCTGGTCATACAACTGTGGAAAAAAGGAGTGGTTTCTTTCCTTCATAGCATGAAGACTTTAAAAAAAAAAGCTTTAAGTACAGGAGCACAAAAGAAGTGGCTACCAAGCTATGAAGATTTTGGGCCTGGGTTGTCTGTGGTGGGATTTCTGACACATTGGTTTGAAGGGCTGAGAATGTTCAAGATCTGCCTTTTTCTCTAGAAAGATGTCTTGAAAATAATTCCAGTGATATTTAGATTAGTATCCCTTGCTGTACCACTCACAGTTTTTAGATAGAAAGTAGAAGAATGCTTAAAAATGCTGGGCAAACAGCCAGCTTGTGTCATCATTCAGCTGTGAACAGCTTAGCTCAAGAGTCACTGGTAGATGAATCTCAAATATTTTTATTCCATCCCCATTGGAATGGAGACTGTGCCAAAAACAAAACTTGTTTCAGCTCTCCCTGGAGCAGAGATCTCAGTTCAGCTTCTCTGGTGAAAAACTGGACTTTTGGAAATTAAATCCTGGATCCACTGAAGTCAGTAGGACCAGCATTTTCCCTCCTCTGTGTCTTCCCATGATGAAACTTCCTTGGGAGAAGGTGATTACTGTAATTTGTGACACAGCTGAAGTAACACCCTTTGGGGAGTGGGGATGTGCTGGCATAAACTTGGCATAAGCACAGCCTCAGAGCTCTGTGCATTTATAGAGTGGGCTGGAATATCAATGTCAAATCAATTCCAAGTGAAATCCTGTGCACTGGGGATGATGCACACAGAAATAGCTTCTCAATTGTGGACATCTGTCATAAGTTTCAATGGTTCAGTATTATTTCAGAATATGTTTGGAATGTCAGAATTTCAGAGATTGTGGAAATCTGTCTTCTGAGGAGTCCTGGCCACAAACATAGCCCAAAAACAACAGGAAAAATATCTGTTGGCTGAAGATGCTGGTTGTTTTCCACCTGACACATTTCACAGCTTGATTTTCAGACAATCTACCAATCAGATTCCAATGAAATGTTAGAAACAAGTTCAATCCAAATTTTTATCACAGCTGTGCAGATCAAAGACACATTCTGAGGAGAACGGTGAAATAATTGATGTGAGAGTGATTGTGGTGGTTTGAGTCCCGAGCCTGGGCTCGTGCTGCTCCCATGGATCCTGTGGCTCTCGTGGTTCTCAGGAAAGCTTTAATGCCTCCAGAGTGGCCTGGTCAGGACACAGCAAAGAAGCTGCAGAGCCCTGGAATCATCCTGATGCTCTCTCTGTGTACCAAAGGTGTGTGGGAAAGGATCAGTGACAATCTCCACTTACCTCTGTCTCACTTCCACAGTTCACTTCCTATTTCTCTCCTTCATTTTTGGTTTCTGCTGCTCCTTCATTCTGTCCTTCTGCAGTGTGGGATGGGTAGGAGGACAAGCTCTAACTGCTGCTTGGATTTTAAATATATGAAAGAAATAATGCAGCAGGACTTGAAACAAGGAAAAGAGAAAATGCTGGAGTGATGCAGAGAACTCCTTTAGACAAATTCCAGTAGTGTTAACATAGGTAAAAAGGTTTAGACTTTTAAAATAATTCTGTGGAATTTTTTGAGATAGTATTTTGGTTTCATCTTCTGTTTTTTAAAGATGCCAGTAAAAAGATGTCAAACTTCCCTTAAATTAACAAAATTCTTCTTTCCCAAATATCTGAGCTCCCCTTCTTGTGCCAGTTTATTTTTTCCTTTAAAAAAAAAAAAAAGAGGAAGAATGGAAAGGAGATAGATGGGGGAAAGATCTTTTGTTGACTTCCTTTTAAAGTTGATTTAATTTATTGGTGGAAAGGTTAAAAGCATGTTTTAAAAAGAAATAATAAAAATATATTTATTTCAAAATGTTTTAAAATGACTAAAACTTAATATATTTGAATAAAGCATTTTGTTAAACATCAGAATATTAAACTGTTCCTGTATTAACATTTTACTGCTAATTTCCTTTGTGATATTCCAAACCAGTTCTCTTGTTCTGCTGCTCTATCAGTTTCTAATTTTCTCATTTCTTGTTTGTTTTAACCCTGTTTCAAAGTACAAAATTTCAGAGGCAGCATGGAGAAACTTGCAACATTTTGGTACATCCCTGTTGTTTGGAAAGGTTTTCTGTTTATAGTATGACCTAGAACATTGTATTAGACAAGAAAAAGAAGGCTTGCCAAATTGTTGAAGCAATTTGAGAATTCTGTGAGCTGAACTTGTAAACCCTTACTCTGCTACTCAGTAGGATATGTAATGTTTTGCTTACTGGCACAGGTATTTCCAGGGAATTCAAAACAACTGAGCATATAGAAACTACCTCCTAAAAGACATATAATGTGTTCCTGGAGTTTGCTATGGAGAAGTGTAATTTCAAAACTCAATGCATTATTCTAGACATTGCTCTGTTCTTCTCAAGATGTCTTTTTTAAGTTATACCCAACACTTCCTACATACATAGTTTCACTTGCAGTTTCCCTCTGCTGTCAGTTAAACCTTATGCACAGACATGCTTTGTGAGTCATATTTCCACAGTAACAGGGAAGACAAAAGCAGGTCTGGGGGCCAGGTAGCACTGCTTTTATCACAGTTAACTTCTGAGGAGTTTTAACAGCCTGTAAAACGTACTCCTTGGATTTTATCATAAGTACTTTTTAGTGCATTTCAGGCAAATCAGTGCCCTGAAATGTTTTTTACCTTGCTGTGCAACAGATTATGACAGCAGAGCATGGCACACTCTCCATTCTTTCCCCCATAAGGGGCCTTCCATACATCTTTGGCCCTTTAGGACACACAGGGATCCTAAGGATAACCTTGTGAAAAGAAACACTCAGATGCTGGCTGTGTGAAACAAAGATCCAGGCTCTGCCCTGCCCTTGAGCTGCAGATTCCCCATTGCCCTTCAAATCCATGGATGTGGGAAGTCAGCTACATTGCCAATCCCAGTGTTGAGCCCTTTGCAGTGTGGAAGAGGCTGATCCACACTCCTAGGATGGGGGAAGGAGCTTTGCTTCACTCTAGGCATATACAGCTTTATCGTGGTATTTAGTGTCTTTCATCTTGCAAGTCATGTTTTCTCTTTTTCCTGGATCACCAGGCTGCTCTGCACTAAAATCTTTCCTCATTCTAAGCTCTGTATCCCTGCCAATTCAAACCAGTCAGTTTCATGACTAAGATTTATATCAAGTCTCATATTTATCTTATTTCGGATTGAGACCTCTTATGCTCCTATGATGAATTTACCACCCCATAAAAAGAGAGATATCATCGTAACTATTGCTTTTTAGGGTCAATGTTCTGATTTGTCTCATATAATTAAAATTTTATATTTATCTGAATCCCAGCTATTCAAATAGACCATCTCAGCTTGAGAAGAGGAACTTTGAGAGAAAATATGGTGTTATTTATCTAAGATTGCTCTAAATCCCTGTCCAAAGCAGCCATGGAAGAATATGATGACTATAAATTAGTTTCTTAAGCTTTCTGGTCCTGCTGAAGGGGAGAATAATAGTGTTGTGCATAGATTTCCTTCTGCAATTCCATGGCTACATGATGTGAAACTCTTGAACTGACAGCTTGATTTAGGAACAGACATCTGTAAGATTCTTGTCTTCTTAGGTCTTGAATTATTAAGGGTAATAATTTATTGTACTAATTCTACTTAGCAAGCTGGTAGATTGAAACTGCATTTTTTTTTCCTCTTTGTAAATACCTAGAATCCTGAGACATGAAAATATTGAGACCAGAGGCCCTTTCAGCCTTCAAAACAAATGGGATATTTGTAGAGAAAAGGCATTTAAGTGAACAATTTATTTTCTAGGAGCATAATTGAAACTGTAGCTCTGCCATTTGGCTCCCCAGGGCTGCAAGACAGCAGGCTTTGCAGAAGGCTTTCTGTGTTTGTCAGGGGATGCAGTTTAATTAATCTGGGAACTAATCTCTCAAAGTGCTGAGCAACTTCAGCTGCCGTATCGTACATAACAGTGGCAGATTTTTAAGGAGAATTAGGTAACTTCTCAAGGTTTTTAATTATATTGGATATGGTGCACTGGCACCTCTGGATATCCCAGTAGCTTTAAAAGGGTGAGCCTAGCGTGCCAGCTCTCAATCCCTGGCAGCTTTCAGTGCTGGCTCCACAGGTAATTTTGATGTCACTGCTGGAAGCTGGAGCACCATCTCCATCCCCAGAGTGCTGCCAATATTTCCAAAGCTTCAGCATTCAGTGGAGGGGAAAAAATTTATGTAGGAGTGTCAGTCCCTTCTGTAGTGTTCCTTTTGCTCTTTGTACCTGTTGTGCTCCCTCTCTCCCACCTTGCTGGAGCTATGCTCATTGTCTCTGGTGTGCAGCAGCTGCTTGGCCTCAGGTTTTCCTTTCCCTCACCATCCTGCCCCCTTTCTGGATTCAAGCCTGCCCTATTGCTCTTCTGACTTGGTGGTGGTGCACTTCCACTGCCTGGCACCCTGGGCACTGTAGCAAAGAGAGGTTTGCCCTGACAGTGTGTGAATTCCAGGGCTGGCTATGGCCAACTCTGAGCAAGAGCAGCTAAGGGACTCTTGCACACCGTGTGCAAGACTGGATAGATCTGTATTGACTTGGCAAGGGATGCTGCTGGATTCTCTTACAAATTTGAATGGTGCATTTGCCTCTAAAGCAGACATTATTTTGGTGAAAGATGCTACAGACATTTATGTAGTCAGTGTAGGCTACATTCCCTCCGACTTTAACTAAACTCTTCGAGGCTGATAATGGAACAAAACTCCTTATGCTTTGAGGATATTGGGTTAAGTCCCTTTTTATAGGCACCAGTCAATGAAATCCATCAGTTTCTCAAATTTTCTTAGTGATTTGTGTCAAATAAGCTTGGTTCTTACCTCGTGATGAAAAATAGGTTTGAAAATTATAACTGAGGCAATAAAACAAAAGCAGAAGGGTGTGCTTGGGATGCAGCAGAATCAAGATCAGACATGGGAGAGTGGAAGTATGAGGCCCAGGATTTCAATCCCCCAACTGAACAGGGAAGCTCTGATACCATTTAAGAGAGTGAACTTCTATTTATTTGATTGAGGCTGGTTTCACTTAAAGCCTACATATGTGAAGGGATTTAACTAGCAGTGTATCTGATCCACAGATGAATTGGAGCTTAGTACAGAGATCTGTAGCCTGTGCCCCTTTCTAATTTTTGTTTTTTGTGATCTTCTTTTGCAGTGGGAGGCATTTACACTGTGATCCAGACGAAAGCCAAAACTACAGCAGATGAATGGGGTGAAAACTATTTCCTGATTGGCCCCTATTTTGAGCAGAATGTGAAGACTCAGGTGGAATTCACTGAACCTCCAAACCCTGCAGTTAAGAAGGCAATGGACACCATGAAAAGCCAAGGGTGTCAGGTAAATCAGATGTGTTGCTGCTCCCCAGGGCAACAAATCTGACTCTGAGGAGATTAAAGTTTGGGTTAATGCTCTTGTCGTTCCACTTGACACAGCAGTCCTGGTCAATGTCACAATGGGAAAGGCTCGGAATCCACTGTTAGAACCGCAGAGTCAATTCATTAAAGGTTATTTTTGAGGAGGAACCAGTTCATCCAATTATGGGTTTTAACAGTCATTTACCTGCAAGGCTGCTTAACTGGATTAATGTCTTATTTATCTGGTCTCTAAGTACGGTGAGATTTTAGTACATATAACATGACCTTACTTTGTGCCCTTATTTCACATTCTTGCATGGGAGTGAGAAGAGCATTCCTTTAGCCCTCAGATTTTCTAATGTAGCATAAAAATATTGAGATGAAAACCAGGAAAGACTTGAGAAAAGCACTGAGGTGACAAAGGATACACTTCTTCAGTTCAGTGCAACCAGCTGTCAGTTCCCTGAGAATAGAGGTATACCGCAACACAAGAAGTGGATTTTCTCTTTTTCCAACATGATTTTTAACCAGTGTTTTCTGTGTGATCTCATAGCCTTTCTGAGGCTCGGTTTCTCCAACAATGAAGTTGGAATAAACTTTTTCCTATAAAGGTTATCTGCTAAAAGAAATAGATTATCTGCTGTGTTGATGGGCAGTTATTAAGCTGCAAGCAGCTTTGGTTACCTGAAAATGGGTGGAAGGTAACTCATGCTAAATTTGACCTCCTTTCTTGAAGTCCTTATCAGAGATGTAGAACTTGCCTGCGCTCTGGCTCAGTGTTGAGTCCCTCAGAGATGCCAGTTTGCAGGGGGAAAAATTGTCTGCTCCTGCTGTGTGCTGAACAGATGTGGAGAGCATCAGAGGCAGCAGCAGGGAAGGATTCTTACTGTTGCTGAGGGAATTGACACACTTCAGTGTAGAAATTCCTGAAGTTCTTGGGTTGTCACTAGCTGTGGCACTGGCAATGTGTTGTCTGCCTCTGTAAGAGCAGTTGTGCTGTTCTTAGGATCTAGTGCCCTGTTATGCAGATATCTTTTGTTGGATGAGTATGTGCCACAGCTTGGGAGTGTCAGGGACACTGACATGATGCTTGAATTGTACGGGCTCAAACTGAAAGGTCCAATCTGCCATTTCTTATCTTTATCAGATTTTCATAGGTCATTGATCAGGTTTTCTGTGTTGCCTCTGTAACACTCCTGTGTCTGGAAAACAGCTAAAGACTTCTGGGGCAAATTGATTGCAATGCTTTATGTTGTTCCAGCAATGCATCCAATTTAATCAGCCACCTCTGCCAGCCCAACACGTGCATGGTGCTGCTGAAGTATTCATATACAGCAGCAAATCTGTCCCAGGGATGTCAAATATAGCTTTGATCTCCAATAATGACGCTCTTGTTTCCAGGAGCTGCACTTATCCTATTAACATTTATGTCTGGGTTTTGCTTATGCATCACAATGGATGGTTTTAAACCAGGGGACCTAGGAATGCTTCCAGACTTCTCAGGTCAGGTGTGTTCCTTGCCACAACCTGACCCTGTATTTAGATGAAGTCTGAGTTCTCTGCTTTTTAACCTCATTTTCCTGAATAGCAAATCTGAACAGTCTGAAATAAATACATGAGGAGCAAAAAGGAGCAAACCTGCCTTTGTTATGCCTTGTACTTTTTGTGAAAACAGGCCAAAAGCTTTTATCTTATTTGTTTTCAAGACCTGACCTCTCTTCATCTCATTGCAGCGTCAGGGCTGGGTTCAACCCCTGAGGTCCCAGCTGTTTTGATGGCAGATTTAATGTGAAATTATTTGACTTTGCAGACTGTAGTGTGGGCCCAGCTGGGTTGGGCAAGCCAGTGCAGGCAGTGAAGTTGTGAATACTCTTAGAAATGTTTAATTATACCAATGGAGACAAAGCAGGAAAGCTGCATTTTTAGCCTGATGTGATTTTAGGTGTTGAGATTTATTGATCTTCCACTTCTGATTGATCCTTCCACTCTTCCAAATGGAATTAGAATCCTTCCCCTCTGTGATGCTTGGGAAGAAGGAAGAAATGTCATGGTAGATACAGGCACAAAGCATCAGTCCTACAAAACCTCTTCCCAGTAATCTAGCATGGATAGCAAAAGGCTGGAGACAAATATGAGTGAAAGAAAATGAAAATTTTAAAATAAGAACAGAACTGGCTCAGATACTTCAATAAGAAGACCTCATTATTCAAGCAAGTGTAGTCTTCCTAACCTTTTTTTTTTTCTTTCACAGAAAAGAAGTTACTATTGCAATGAAAATCTAACATGAAAGACTTAAAAATAAAGTGTTCCTAAAGGTTATAGTTTCCTTTGCTTCAGTATTACTCAATGTATTTTGCAAAGAAAACTGCAAGTCCTGGGTTGTAGGACTGTGAATACACATTGTTTGTGTGAAATACTTCAGATGTGATGGATGAAGATTGTTGTGCTAACTGGCCTTTACACTCACTTTAACCTTTTCTTTCTATCCTTCTTATTCTTTCCTCTTTTCCATAGGTCTTTTTTGGAAGATGGCTGATAGAGGGCAGCCCTTATGTCTTACTGTTTGATATAGGATCAGCAGCTTGGAACCTGGACAAGTGGAAAGGTGAATTTTGGGAAGTCAGCAACATAGGGATCCCTTTTCATGACCGAGAAGCCAATGATGCTGTGATTTTTGGATCATTAACAGCCTGGTTTTTGAAAGAGGTACAGTTTTTAAATCTAGAGATTTGCAGACCAAAACTACTTGGGATGTGGTTCCTATTCTCCAGTTTGAAAACCAAGATTTTTAGGAAGTTGATCTCAACGTAAATCAAATTTGTATTTAAAACTTAAATGTTGACTGGTCATTCAACTATATTTTTCCAGAAGAAGGGTAGTGGGGCTGCCCAGTGAGGAGTCTGAGTGACTGTGCTTGCCAGAGCCCTCTGACACTCTAGAAAGAGGTCTGTTCTGAGGAGCTAGAGAGGCACACATTTTTCTTGGGTTAAGGATTAGAGCTGATGGAAATCAAGGCACATGTCCTCTTAAAATTGTACTTCTTGTTTTGTCACAAGAAGGAAAGCAAGCGTTCAAAAGGCTTCACCAAAAAAAGAAAAAGAAAAGTTCTCTGGGACTGGGATGATGGACATGATAATGTATGTTTCATGTATTTCTTTTTCTTTTCAGCTTTCCTGTCAGTTTGATGACAAGCCCAATATAATTGCCCACTTCCACGAGTGGCAGGCAGGAGTGGGTTTAATCCTGTCTCGATCACAGAAACTTCCCGTCGCCACAATTTTTACTACCCATGCAACTCTGCTTGGCAGGTACTTGTGTGCAGCCAATATTGACTTTTACAACAATCTGGACCAAGTAAGAGACATTTTTCTCATTCTTCTCTGTTTATTTAGCTAATTGTCTACCAGCTCCCTTTCTGTTTATGGTGTTACACTATTTATTGTATTTTCTGGCTTGTGTGCTTGCTTATGACTGACCCATAGCTGATGGTTGATTCCAGAGCATGAGAATCAACATTTTTAAGATCATGAAGTGTCTAGGCATGAGTGCCTTTGTCTTATCTGACAGGTCTGAAAGCTCAGTGGAAAGTAGTAAAACATATTCAGTTATAGCCAACATCTGACCCTTCAGGTGCAGCCTCACAAAAGTCTTTCGTAATGTAACACAGTAGAAAAAATAACCAGTAGCCCTCCTCTTGTTAAAAATACCCCAGAATTGCAGTGGATCGTGGTTGCTTTGACTTTTTTTTTCCCCCAGCCTGCTTCTTAATTTTTACAAACCCATAGTAAGTCCTAATTTCAAGCATTTCAGGTTAGGCCTAATTTGTAACTGGCAAATGTAGAAGTACTTTCTGAGTTCAAAAGACTCACTTGTGTTTCTTGGAATGTGTGTAAACTGTCTGTTGGATTTGATTTTCACTGTTCTCTTTCCACTCAAAGCATAACACAAAACAATGTTTCAAGTACCCAAATGTTTTTCGCACTGCCCTCATCAGGGTACTTTGCCTGATCTGGGATTTCTCATATGGTCACAGACAAACCTGAATTCAAGAGATTTTTCCATTCCAGCACTCAGTGAAGGTAGAGGTACATAAAAGAACCACATTGTTCATGCACTTCCTTGGCTAAAAACAGTGAAGAAAATTACATAGTTGGTAATTTTCAGTTGGATGTTGGAAGTTTGACATGTTGGGGAGCTGTGTCTTCCAAAGACAAGGCCTAAGCAGTTGTATGTTGCTGGCCTGACTCAGAAACAGGAAATCATGGAATGGTTTGGGGGTTTTTTTGGCAAACATCATCTCATTCTGACCCTGCCATGGGCAGAGACACCTTCCACTATCCCACGTTGCTCCAAGCCCCATCCAACCTGGCCTTGGATCCAGGGGCCGCCACAGCTGCTCTGGGCAACCTGTGCCAGGGCCTCAGCACCCTCACAGGGAAGGATTTCTTCCTAATATCCAGTCTAAACCTGCTCTCTGTCATTCTGAAGCCATTCCCCCTTGTCCTGTCACTCCAAGCCCTTGTAAATCATCTCTCCTAGACTCCTAAGTTAGTTATGGTGTTAGGTGCATTAATAAGGCAGCATGAACATCACAGTCCTGCTGTGTAGGAGTCCAGACACTCCTGCTCACTCATAGTCTCTCTGTGTGTATAATACAGAATGGTTTGTTTTGATTCTGGTTTATTGAGGGAGCTGCAAGCAGTCTGGAAAGTAGTCCTTTTTTTCTCAAAGCAACTGGGGTTTTTTCTCTTCATGAATACTTTTGGGGGCCTCACCCTTGTCTGTGTACTCAAAAGGTACTCTAATGATCTTACATCTGACTAAACCTGCAGATTTTAATATATTTATAAACTAGTCACAGTATTAATATAATTTTTTTCTGTCCACACATGACATGAACATCTTTATGTGTGAAAGCACTGTCCATCCTTCAAAACCTCACAAATCCCATTGGTGACCATCAGCTATGTCACAAATACAGAAATGTCTATTCAGATTTTATTCTAAGAATATGTGGAAAGAAACATAAGTATCAATTTCATATATCATTCTAAATGGCTGTAAATAATATTTAAGGGAAGGAAATTGTGGATTTCTAGGCTGTAATGCTTTATACCCTCTGTGGGTTGACAATTAAAGGTACTAACAGAGGAAATTATGTCAAGCTGTTATAACACTGTTTAATATTTCTATAGGATGCTAAAACTCTTCCTGGAAAATTTAACTATCTTAATGAGGGCTTCTTTGGCTGTGAAAAGGTCACCTTGGCCCAAAAGTCAGTTGAGACACAAGAGCTTGATCTCGAATACCACAATTAAATAACAGCTAGATCTTCAGACATATTCTTGTTGTTGCCTTCTAGCAGCAAACTATTTGGGTCAAGCAAGCAATTTGCTTAGTGAAGAAGATTCTTTAGGGCTTCCTAATGTTTAATCTTTGGAGGAAGCAATATTTTTTTAGAGCATTTCACCCCCTCCCACCCCAAAAATAGCTGGGTTTCCTGTTTCGGTGCTATTGCATAAATGTTTTCCTTTGAAGTATGATTAAGTTCTCACGTTTGACCAGTGTTTCACAGCTAGAACACAGTTCCCACCAGGCAGCAGCTGCCAGGATGTGTTGTGCCAGACGTCACAGAAAAATGGCTGCAGCACAGAATGAAAGCGTGTGGCCTTGTTGTGCCTGACGCAATCAGGCGTGTACAGCTCATACACAGAAAAGAGGAAACCTCACGTCTTTGTTTCGAGCCCACAACACAGTCCACAAAATGCTGAGTTAGGATGCCTGGTAGGCAGTTCTGCACTGCCCACACAGTGCAGGACTCTCCCACTGCACTGTCAAACCAACCCCATAGATCAGCAGGGCTAGAAGATGCAAGATCAGTAGAGCCCTGAGCTGTGGGCTACCAAAACTCCCTGTTCCATGAGCTGAGGACACATCTCAGCCTGTAATCTGTAAGAGGACATTTTCTGGGGGGCTGCAAACCCAGTCAGCCTAGTAGAGGGAAGCTGTGGATGGCTGGAAGATGGGAGGGTGCTATATGGATGTAAAACTGTAATGTTGGGTGAGTCCTGACCTCCTCCTGAGCCATCTGCTCTTTCCCTCAGAGATGGGATCCTGGTTCTTAGGCAGTATTACAGCTTAGCAATGGACATGGCACTCAGGGCTGTGCTTTAATTTCCAAGGTGGTGATTGGTCAAAGGTTGGACTCCCTGATCTTAGAGGTCTTTTCCAACCTTAATGATTCTGTGGTTAAGATTTGAGCTTATACAATTCTTATATTCTTACAGTTTTAACTCAGTTCATCTGGGCTGGCTGGAATTAACCTGCCTCTGCTCCAGTGAGAACCTGGGTGTTAAACTCTTAGCAGGTGCTCAGGAGCACAGTGGCCACCAGAAGTAACACTGTTGTGTTACTATTTAGTGCATATTTTAGTACCTAGATTCATATTTAATTCACTCTAATCCTGGAGAAAGGAAGGGAGGGAAAACCAAAAGAACAAAATGGGGTGACATTTACAGTAACTGACAGTGTCTTTATTTTTATTTACTTTTAATTATTTGAAGAACCCTGGGTGCATTACTGGGCCAGGGACTGCTCACTAAACCTATGGGTTATTGAACTCTTCCAAACTCCACACTGCCTAATTTCAATATCAAGCAGGGTTTTTTATGAGTTTAATTCCCAATAGAAGTTTAAGAACTTTTGTATATCTAAATAGTCCAGCCAATAGGGCATTTTCCCATTGTCTCCATGTCCAGTGCAGCTTTTACATTCTTGTGTGAGATTATGTTTGTTGCCAAGATAACTAACCAAAATTGCTAAAAGGTAGGAATTTCTGTGAAAAAAAATCTCAGGGTCTGTGGAGCCTTTCTTCTTCAGGAGGAATTGGCTTCTCAGCTGAAGATTAACATTCTTAATCTGTTATTGTTTTCCCTATTGTTTGAGGGGACTGGTTTAGTTATTTGCTTGTTTTGCATGGGGATTTTTTTTGTATCCTTTCATGCCTTGAGGGTTTTAAATAAACCGGCACCTTTCATAAATTGACTGAGACACCAATGATCCAAACAAATTCCTAGATGAATAGACAGCTCATTTTGGAAAATGATTTAACCTGGAGAGGTCATAATCTGAAATTATTTTTGGGACCAGTGGCCTGGCATCATGGAGAAGTTTGTGTGGTTCAGCCTCTGATGCCTCTTACTAAAAAACCACTTTGAGTTTGATGGGAAAAGGAGAAGGAAAAAAAGGTCAATCATAGTATTCGTTGCCTTTTTCCTTAGGTTGCCCTGCTGATGTGCAACACTTCTGTTTAGAACTTGGAACATTTTCATTCAGCTCATGCAGGTGCAGCTGAATCCTGTTTGCAAAGTGGTGGAAAATCCTGTCCTAAGAAGTCTAAAAGGAAAAGTATTAAAAATCCCAATGAAAATGAATAGTCAAGAGCTTTTTTGCTGACAATGTCTCACTCCACTTAGACTGTCCAGTTTGTCACCGAGCTCACTGTTACACAAAGCTAATCCACTTTGTCAACAGAACAGCTGATGGAAATCTGGTTTAAGCCAGGAAGTGTAAATTTCATTCTCTTTTGGCTTGGCAGAGCTATACCAGAATGAAAGCTCTCTTTACATAAGGCAACAGTCAATTGGAGGTAAATTTGATGTTAGCTGGATTTTAAGGGAGTGGTTCTTACCTAATTTAGACAGCAGCAGCCAGTGAGATTATGCTGGAAGCAAAAATGTTTCCATTCAGTCACTTAGGAATTTGAACTTCAAACCAGTCTCTGACTGTTCCTTGATCCTGCAGAATCACTTTGAACTTGAGTGTACCACTCTTTTAAAAGATCAAGAAAGATTATTTTGTTCTCTCAGGCATCAAACCTGTACCTTTTATTTGAATTACAAAATATTTACAGTGATATTATCCACTCTTGAGGTAAGGTTTGAATGGTGAGGGTATTAAATGGTGAGTCTGTATTATTCCTGCAAAGATGTTGTTATGTTTTATTTAGGAAAATTACATATATTAATTCCAGTTTGAATTTGTATTGGTTTAACTTCTGTTGGTTTTCACCATCCTTTTTTTTTTTCATTAGGAGACCATAGGCTAATATCATTATCTAGAGATTCTTTGTAGACTGATAAATAATTTGTCTTTCTTTCAGACAAGAATTTAGATGGCTAATATAGTCCTTCCTTTTTTTCCACTCTCAAATGATTCTTGTGTTTTGGAAATACTTTGCAATTCATCTTTATAATTTTGAAGTAGGAATTGCTGATTTGGATTTACTACTTCAGTGACTGTTTCCAGAAGAAACATAACTGCTTAATATTCTCTTCTTTTTCACTCAGAGTTCAGAATGTCATGCTGGGAGGCTCAGTGATTACCTGCTGTGTCTCCTAACATGTTGAATTGTGAGAGATCAATGGGATGTTATGCTCATTACATGGATCCATAGACAATGAACCAAAGAATCCACAGAAATTAACCAAAATTTTCCCTCAGAATTGCACTGCAGAAAATGCAAATTTTACTCCAAAGCATTGCACCTGTGGAACATCTTCTTTTGCTTTGAAATTAGAGTGGCCTTCTAAAGGAGTTATTTCCCCTTCTAATCCTTGCCCTCTTGTAAATTCTAATAATCTGCTTGCTTTCCGCTGGTCGGGGAAGGAGAGGATCCTCCAATAAATTTATAGAAAAGGAGATATTGAAGCTGTTGGCCTTTAAATATCACTGAAATGGTTGGACTAAAGGACCTTAAGAGCTTCTTCTACCCTAAAGGGTTCTGTAAACAGTTCATCTGACTTAGGTTTGTTTTTTTTTCTCCTGATGCAGCTGTGATCTGTGGCATACCTAGTGTTCCCATTTGCTGAAAACAGCAAACAAACAAAAGCAGGCGTGACGCACTTGGGAATCTCGCTTTGCTCTGGCTGAGCACGAGGGGTTTGGAGCAGAGTTCACAGGTGCCTCAGCTGGGCTGGACACAGAGCAGGGCTCAGGGCTGAGCAGGAGCTTTGGTTGGGGGTGAGGAGCTGCCCAGGTGTCCTGCTGGTTTCAGCATGTTGTCCCATGCCCCACAGTGCCTCTGACTCTGGAGATTGTCAGGGCAGGCTCAGCTTTGCACAGGACTAGCTGGGTTAAATGAGTCACCTGCACTGTCTCATCAATTAATTTTCATTTAACCTGCCCTTCAACTTGGCTAAGGCTCTTTTCTGAAGTCGCTTGTCTAGCCTGCTCAGAAGTGCACAGTTCTTACTCCACCCTGAGGTGAAAAGTCAAGGTCTTTGCTTGATTGGTGCTGGAAGCTGCTGGAGGGTGAGAGCAAATGAAATGTGAGAACCCCATGACCTCTGTTTGTACTTCCTAATAGATGTGGAATTGTGTACCTTTGCAAAAACATGCCAAAAGCCCCACAAGCATACACAAAATAAAATACTTCTTGTTTATGAAAGGTGGGAAAATGAATTGCAATGAAGAAATAAGCACTGATATGTGTTAAATATGTAAAGTCTTTTCATGAAACCAAAGAAATAAAAGTTAACTAGAAATAAATCATAGTGCTTAACAATCTTTTTATAAACCTTTGCCCCAGCAGTGTTACGGGGAGTCTTTATCAACAGTTGGTGAGCATGTCCCAAATTTAATTTTTAATCGCATTTTGTAATTAAAACCCATTCTTGCTGAGAAAGCAAAAAGAGAACAAAAGGCCTTTGAAGTTTGACCAGCTATTTGTTTGCTAGCAATTTCAAAAGTATTTTTAATAGAAAGCCAGATATGTTTGAAAACACTTTCATAATTCTGACTGTAGTTGTGCCCATCCCATTCATGTGTTTGTCTAGCATACTAAAGAACTGTCCCATTTTGTATCTTTTTTGCACAGAATGTTTAGACAATCAAATATGCAGTTAAGAGCTCCTTGTGAATCAGTTTAGTGTAAGCCAAGGATGATGCCGAGACCTGTGGCACTAAAAGGAGCCAAATGAGTTCCCCTTTATTTTTCTCTTTGTGTTCTTTCTACCACTCAGTTTCTGTGGCGAATGAGATTAATGTCCGGGAGAAAATATCCTTTGTATTTCATGCTCTAAAATTCTCATGGGAAATGCAGAAAAGACGATATATGAGGATACAACTGAGAAACGGTATCAAAATATTTAGCACATTATGTGGTAAATTGTATTTGGCAAATGTAGAAAAGCTCTTGATATAGAGGATCACCAATACCAGATTAAAGCATCTCGTTTCTTTGGAAGTTTTCTGCTGAGACTTTTCAAGTTCTCAGCTTTTTTTTTTTTTGTCACACTAGGGTGGTTAGATTGGCACTTTCAACTAACACAGTGGAAACCACTTTCCCACTAGTATTGTAGCAGAATACTGGTGCAGAATTAAAGCAGAATACTGGTGCAGAATTAAAGCAGATAAAAGCAAGTAATTTTCTCAGCAAAGCAGTTATAAGATATCTGTATCTACATCTGTGTCTACACCTATCTAAGTGAAAATAAGAAGTTTTTTGCTTCACTGTAGGTCCCTGAAATGTTTCACATTGCATCAACTTTTTCACAGTATGTTCTGTACCAGCACTAAGCTTTGCAGGACAGGTCACAGCCTAAATAGCTTTACTTCTGTCCAAGTTCTGAAGTTCTAAAAGCAGCTGGCCATGGCAGGGGTCACACACTCCTAACTATAGAAAGTGCTGTCTGCCCTGCCTGTGATAGGGGTTAAATCTATTATGGTCAAAGTTACACAGTCAAATGCAATCAAAATCAGGCTGTGCAGCCTGCATTAGGCAGCAATCACGGCAGAGCTCACTGAGAGTCATTGTCGCCCTCCATGAAACTCACACAGGCCACTGGGTGCCCATGCTGTTGACCTTAGGGACTCAAGACTTCTGTTTCCAGAAATGAAACATCATGGAAGACTAAGAGGATTGTGATTTAATTGAAAGCATTGACACCTTTTTTAGACTATGTTGTAGTGATTTTGCAGTGGACACTGATAGTGAACATTTGAACCTTTAAGCATGGACTCAAGGGAATTGTGCATTTTCTTTGCATCAGAATAACGTAAGTTTAAAAAAGGGCAGCTGCAAGATTTAAAGGTGATTTAGAAATACTTGGGTGTTTGGAATAGAAATACTTGGTTGTTTGGAATGTCTTTTCTGGCAGTTTAACTTGCATCTGTCTCTAAAAATTAAGGGAGTTCAAACTGAAATATAAGAAGCAGCAAGTGACAGTGGCAGAGTTGGAGGAAGAATATCTCTGAGTGTCAGAAAATATCTCATGTTCTGTTTTCTTTTTTCCATTGGGAATCGTCACTTTGTCTTTATATCCTGCCCTCCACTTCTCTCCTGCCTACCTGTGATTCCCACCATTCTGCCGAGACCCCAGGTTCTGTCCTCATCCCCATTCCTATTTTCTTCTCTTCCCTTCAGCTACCAGTTAGCTCCCTGCTCTCCCAAGTTTTCCAGCAGGCCCGTGAAAGCTGCAACATGATACATTGCCAGCCAGCAGGCCAAATTCCACAGGTCCTTACCTTTCATGGGATCATTAATCTAGATTTCCTTCCATGGCAGAGCTGCCATTCTTTGAGGAACAAGCAGCATCTGAGAGCTCTCCTGCTCTTTCAAATTCCTTGAAGTTGATAAAATAGTTCAAAAAACACCAGAATGACAAAACAGCAGCATAATCACGTGGTTCTTGTGGTTCTCGTTCCATGGGGAAAAGGAGCCTAGCAGGAGAAGCCTTCCCTGAGGGAGACAGTTTGATGCTCATGTCTCACAGGTGTCTTTTTTGTTGGTTTTGTTATTTAACAGTTTGACATTGACAAGGAGGCTGGAGAGAGGCAGATTTACCATCGGTACTGTATGGAACGGGCATCTGTGCATTGTGCCCATGTGTTCACCACAGTCTCCCAGATCACAGCTACAGAAGCAGAACATATGCTTAAAAAAAGCCCTGGTAAGACCTGAATCATTTTTTTTTTACTGTTATTTCCTCAGAATGCCCACATATCCTTAGACTAAATGAACATAGTAGAGGCAGTATGCAAACATGAAGAGACAGAACACATGCACAGGTGTGTCTGGCTATGCTACAGGGATTAACCAGTTTTCCATGGATGTTAGGCTTTTTTTTGCCAGGACTCCTCAACTTCAGGAATTTTGTCTGTGGCAGGGTTTCCATGCTTTTAGAACTGAACCATGATAAGCTTCATATAGATAAAATATTTTCTATTAGGCCAACAAGTAGAGTTTGAAAAATAGTTCTGTGCCCAATAATTTGTCTGGTTTTTCTCTTGATGTTAGGCTCATAAAATATGAAGCTTAGAAACCTTGTCTTGTTCCATGCTTGGGTTTTGAGTAAGGTCATGGTCCCAGTTTGATGTGGCATCAAATTTCTCTTTAAATCATCTCAGTGCTTTATAGGGATACACCCCAATACTCCACCTGCAGGTAGGCAGCATGAGAGAAAACTGCACAACAGTTTTGGAGACTATTTAGCAGGTGTGTTGGTATCTTGGTTATTTTAAATTAAACAGTGCTCAAATTATTGTTTTTGTTTGAACTCGGTTTTTTGTTTTATTTTTGGGGTTTAGTTGTTTATTTGGGGGATTTTTTGCTTACTCTTTGTAGAGCTATTGGTTGATTTGCAGTGCTGATTATATTTTGGGATTGTTATCCTGATTAACTTCAATGCTTCAAGCCACATTGTGGTTCCTGAACCTGAATGAAAGAGCTGTTCATGGAATCCTTTGCCTCATTCCTGACTAGCTGTCAATAGGATGATGGATTTAGATTATCTTTTTCATTTTATTTTAAGCACAAAAGCCATGTCTTAAAAATCACTGAAGTTCAGTCATTTAAACTGGGATACCTCTGAAAGGTCTTGATTTTTCAGAGTGCAGAGCACTCTGAAAATCAAACTTTTAAAGCTTTTTTAATATAGGCATGACACTTCTCCCCACCACAGCTACCATTGAAAATCATAGTCTGTGTTTTGGGATTTTAGGAGACTGAAATGAGTCTGAATCCAGTTTAATTTGGGGAAGAAAATCTCCAGACTGCTCACAGATAAAACATCAGTTGAAGCTGAAGAGAATTCCATGCACAGAGATTGACAGGCCTGAGCTTTTTGTGATTATTCTTGCAACTTTGAAGAAACCAAGTAAATATACTTAATGTTTGGGTTAAAAAACTACTGCCAGATGTTATGCTTCATGTTGATATCGCTAGAAAGAAATTCAGTAGAAATTGTCACCCCAAATCCTAAGAAACAACTCTAAGTGGGAAGTCTGATGAGAATAAGGACTTTAATAGTTTCTCTGAATCCAAGACCACAAATAAACTGTGCAGGAACCTATTCTCACACTATTTATTCTCTCTGAAGTTGTGAAATCTGCATAGACATTGATTTTTTGAAACACCCATCAATCCTTCAGTAGGTCATTGAGCTTGCTAAGGAACATGAATACTGAAAGCATGTGTGCATTTCTCCATCCACGTTAAAAATAAACCTTTAAAAGGAGGATGCTGAATTAGCACAATTAAATTTTATTTGCATTTATTGAGATAAAAATTTTTCAAATAGTTAGCTAAAAATAACTCAGAAATATGCTAAATTGAGGTGTCTCTGCTACTCCTCTTTAACATCAAACTTGGATTATAATTTAAATTATAAATCTCATCACTTGGAGAGGTCCCTTTAAAATTTAATAAAGCCAGTTGCATAGAGAACTTTTGCAGTGGGACAAAGGCCAATTTGCCAGTTTAAACATGGCAGAATGACTGCTTCCATTATGCTGATCCCACTTGCTGCAGTTGTTATGTGATCAACAATTTATCAAACCATATTTGTCAAAAGCTGGAGTATCTTTGACATATCTAGCAGGATTTTGTCAGTGATCATAAGTTATATTCTTGTAGTTTGTAAACTGGTGTTATGGGATGTCTAATGTTTTCACTCAGATATGGAACATATTTCTCATTAGCAGTAGAAAAGACTTTGAGTCAAAATTCCAAGAGATTCAGGTATCAATTGAGTTCTAGATCTAGGCTTCCTATCTGTATGTGTTTGATCAGAATCATAGATGGAAACTCTGAAAAAAGAGTCAACTCTACTGTTAGTGATATATCAAGAGAAAACTGTGCTAATATTACTTAAATCATGCCAGTTTCTTTCCTATAGATACAGAAGTTAAAACATTCTGGTTTGACCTACTTGGGACAATTTTTCAAGCAAAAATATTGTTATTTCATTAAACAACAAGAACAGCAACAAAATCAAACAAACAAAAAAAAACAGCATAGGGACCAAACTCTCTGTCATCACTTCATCTCTCACACATGTTCAAAATATTCCTGTGTGTTGAGCAGAAATAGTGAACTGGGTTCTTTGGGCCACTGTGTCTGTCATGCATCTCAAAGCCTTAAGCAAGAGATGGATGGAGCCCCAGTCCTCATGAAAGGATAAATGAAGCTGCAGTTAAACCAAAGGACATGGGAGTAGGTTATGCACAGGCTGCTGCTGGTGGGTGAGACTCTCCAAAACTCCCTGATAAATGAATGTGAGTGTGGAAAGGAGCCAGCCAGAAATAGCTGGGGAAGGGATTCTTCCTGTGTTGGGAAGTCTTGGAGATGGCTGGAGTCTCAAAGCTCTGTCCTGCACGAGCCAGTTCTCCCACACAGAGCAAGGAACAGGTCAGAGAAAGGAGAAGGTGTGTTGTTGGTAAAGACAGTGGAGGATGGTTCTGCTGTGTTACCTCCCCCCAGAGGTCTTTGTTCAGAGAATTCTTAAGTGCTGGGCGGGAGAAGGTAAAAGCACAAGTTTTCTCCTCATGTCCACCAAGACTGTTTGGCCATTGAAAACCAAATCTTCAGTACCTAGCAAGTAAAGATTTCCTGGTCTTTAGTTTCAGAATTGGTGTTCCAGAAACAGATCCATCAAGACTTTTGCTATTTCATGGTTACTACTAAAGGTTATATTTTTATCTGTTGTAGTTTAACCTAGAGTGCTTCAGGACATTTTCAGGTGAAAGTTTAACCACAGATCACTTACATGGCAGGGAAACACATATATTGCTAAAGCAGACTGTAATTCTCAAGGAAATAATCAAAAATGGCTGTGCCATTTGCATAATGTCAGGCAAGTATCATAAAGTAGTATAAGTCTGTTTCAGTCAGTTGTGGTGCCATGAAATACATCTGCTGAGGAACTGGCCTTCCCTTTCATTTTCATTCATAACCCAACTCAAAGGACAGAAAATGGCGTTCTTTCCATTTACTTGGACTGGATTTGGGGCAAGCCTTTGAATAGCTGCTGTGATCTACCAGGAAGGCTAAGAGTGACTGAATTTCAGTGCCTGTCCTCTGTGTATATCCCAAAACTCTACCTTTAAAATGCTGGAAATGAACAAATTTTAATTGTAAGATCCCTTAGAATCGTGGAGGAGAGCAGCAGTAAAAAGGTAAAGTGTACTATTCCATGGATATTTTTAGGTGAAACACAACTGATTACTGGAAAGAGGCTGTTTTATAAATGTTTCTTATATGCTCCCTTTTTTGATAAATCCTCAGAAGTTTTGATAGAATGGGTATCTCTTGTGCCATGCAGTAAACAAGAGCATAGCACAATTTCTGCTTACAAGGGCTCTCAATCTGTAGTGATTGAGCAGGCAACAGTGATATCAAGGATAAAGAGGTACAGGGCAAGTTGCACAACAAATGTGTGGCTCAATGGAGACGTCACTGGGGTCTTGACAGGACAAAAGGGCAGGGTCTACCCAGTGCTGAGCACAGGTGAAAGCTGCTTTGATGCTGCAGATGTGCAGAGTCATATGCAAGAGCTTTGTGGAGGCAGTGCTGTTCCCTCCCCTGAATAACATAAAAACATAACCTGTTCACATAAACTTGAGAGACACATTGGTTCTTTCCTTAAAGATTTCTCTGACTCTGAAGATGTCTACCTCTGCCTTTTCTCTGCTTTTCCAGATGTTGTCACCCCAAATGGCTTGAACATTAAGAAATTTTCAGCAATGCATGAGTTTCAGAATTTGCATTCCATGTACAAGGCTAGGATCCAAGAGTTCATTCGAGGTCATTTCTATGGGTATGCTTTTACTTTTCAAAAATTAGCAATGCTTGTCCAACACTATTTAAAGCAAAGCAGGAGGACTAACAAGTACTTCATAGAGGAGTGGAAATGTTGAAACCAGCTTATTCAAATGTCTGTCTGGGATTTCTCAGTCAGAAGCTAAGGGAATTTTAGACACCAGATCTGACTCTACTTAACAGATTGTGATTTCAGACAGCAGATCTTGATCTGTTTGTTATTTACCCAAGATGCAATTAGTCAGATTAAGATAGTCAATTTAAAGGACAGCAGAAAAGCTTCACTTTCATTTTTCTCTGGGGATAATAAGTTCCTCCAGAATAGAAAGCTGTTGTGTGTTTTATTTGATTGTATCTTGAGAAATACTTTGTTCTTGTCTGTTTTCTTGCTTTCAGCCACCTTGACTTCGATCTTGACAAGACCTTGTTTTTCTTCATTGCTGGGAGATATGAGTTTTCCAACAAAGGAGCTGATATGTTTCTAGAAGCCTTATCAAGATTAAACTTTTTGCTGAGGGTAAGAAAGCTTACACAGCTGTTGAAAGCATAGAGCTTATGCTCAAACTCACCATCCTGTGGAAGTCACCTACAAGAATTCCCTTTCAATACTCTGGTTTATAGGGAAGTAATGATGGGACAGTCACAGTTTTCATAGGGCTCTCCTCCTGAACCATCAGAATATATGATGATTTCACACAGTTTTAATTGATAGATTGGTTGTATAATTGAAAATAATTAATTACATAGTTCAAGAAGTTAATCCATGGTTGCCTCCCTAGTTTTTAGAGAGAAGTAACAAAAAAAGTATTCTAGAGTTTACCCTGATAGCTTCCGTATTATAATGAAAATAAAAGTAAACCTTTAAAGCGGCATTTTAAAAACATCCTTTTAAGCAAATTGCTTAATTTGTTAGGACCTGTTTATGATCTTTTAAATCTCTGCTACCCCACTGGATGGGAATGTTGCATTAAAATTCACAGAGTGACAGTGGTGTGGTGCAAAGCAATGGGAAGCCATGCAGGTCTCTATGGTTCTGTTTCCTCAGCTATAAAAATTGGTGCAATGTTTCTAAATGTCTTTATGGAGTACTTCAATGAAGATAAGAGCAAGGCCTTGTTAAAAATCACAAAGCAGAGCCCTTACTACCTACAATTGAAAATGTCTCCATTGTGTCCCAAAGACTAATATATTGAAAATAAAACCCAGAAAAAATGCTAATAATGCTAATTGGTTTTCAATCATTTGGCAAGGATTTGGCAAGCTGTTGTCCTAGACTCTGTCCTTTGTACTCCTTAACAGTTGAATAATATGGAAAATCTGGATAAAAGTTATGATACTGCTCTGTCAGCAGGGATGAAAGAATCACTAATGTTCAAAGCCCTAAGTACAATTGTTCTACCACCACCTTCTATTATTATGGCATTTAGTGACTCTGGATTTTCTAGAAATTCTTAATCCCTTCATTCACACAGTTCCCCTCACAGAACTGAAGTATTTCTTCCCCAGCAGAAATCAGCTGTTTGGCAGTGCTGTGCAACATCAGCTACCTGTTAATGGCATTTTCATGGCTGTTACCTGTGAGTGCTGGTAACGTGGAAGGTCTTGTGCGATAAGAGGGAAAGAATTGCCTGAGCAGTTACTGCAGGAATCTCTTATTGCAGCTAATGATTTATATCATAGAATCATAAAATCTTTAGGGCTTCAAAAGATTTCCAAGATCATTGGGTCCAACCTTTGGCCAATCACCCATTTGTCAATTAGACCATGGCACTAAGAGCCATGTCCAGTTGTTTACTGAACACTTCCATGGAGGGTGAATTCCACCACCTCGCTGGGCAGCCCCTTCCACTGCCTGATCATCCTTTCTGTGAAGAAGTTCTTCCTGATGGCATCCATGGTAAACAAGGCTGATGGAAATTAAAGGAAACAGGCTAGTTTTCCCAGGCTCTATAGAGCAGTGTACTGTTGCTTCTCCCAGAAGCTGAGCCTGGATTTATTGCATTGTTCTTCCAGTGTGGATGCCGGCATCTGATTAGCTGTTGTAGCAACACCTGCTCTGTAATTAATTCAAGAGGTAATTCCATTGGGAATAGTAGACTACCTGTACTAATTACAAGTCTGGAAATGGTGGTACTTCCTAAATTTCCCAGTATTGTGCCTGAACCTAAAAAGGACATACCATTGCATGAAATTGTTTTATTTTACAAAGACATTTTACAAAGACATTTTCCTCTGCTGCTTGAAAACTTTACTAAAATTTTGCAAATAAAATATGGAAGTTGGGAGAGATTGTTAATGCACACTAGGATTATAGCACGATGGAATTGGAACCCACTTGGAAGAGAGGGAAGGGAAGAACATTAATTAACATAAACATGATAGATGACTCCCATAGGTTTTTTTATACTGTACATTTCCCTCTGTGTCAGTCTGAGAGAAGGCACACTATTGAATGGGTTTGTATCTAAAATTTGAAATGGAGGCAATTCAAAGTAATTTAATTTTTACAGCTCTGAACAGAGTTCACCCTTAGCTTTTCATTAAACAGCTGATGAGAGGAGTAAAACCTCATTCATGCAGCAATGAATGGACCTGGTATTTTGAACCTTGTTCATGCACAGGAGAAACTAGCAAGTCAAACCACCTAGAAATAAAGGGTCAGAATTCACAGCAAGTGCTTTCTGCCTTTGAAACAGCTGGATGGGCAAGAAGTTATTTGTGGCTTTTTGCATGTCTGGCAGGTTCTTTGCCAGAGTTTCAGGTAGAAAATGGTTGTTCTTTCTCTGCTGTAGGAATTCCCTCATATCATGGCTAGGCATACCTCAGATAGTAAACCAAACGCTCACTCCTTTGAGCCAGCACAGTTTGTGTCAGGTGAGAAAGTGTGTAGGACTTTTATTTTTCTGCAGTTTATGTGCTCAGCCAAAGCCATGTTCTCTAAACCATGAGAGCTCAGGAAGATCTGCTTGCCCAAATTGAAACTGGGTGACATCTCCATCTTGATCTCTGATTTGACAAAACTTTCTTTGTAGCAAGAGCTACAAGATCTGAGCCTTCCTGGAAAACCAAAGTGCATTTGGCGTTTCCTGTGACTAATTCTTTAAGTTGGCTGTATCAGATTTTTTTATTTTAAATTGCTCTCCATTTCTTGTCACTTAGGTTCACAAGGCTGATGTTACAGTTATCGTGTTCTTCATCATGCCAGCAAAAACCAACAATTTCAATGTGGAAACCTTGAAAGGACAAGCAGTCCGGAAGCAGCTCTGGTAATTGCCATTCCCACCCTGGTGCAGTCTGATGGGGACTCATGCAAAAGTCTCAGCTGGAGAATGCTCCTTCTTTTTGCTACAACTGAGGATTGTGGGTAACTAGAATGTATTTCAGGCATGAAAGAGATGGGAAAGATAAATAAGGTCAAATACTTCTTCTTTTAGGTCTGTTTTTTTTTTTCTTTTTAATCCACAGTTATTTTTAGTTAATTTGTGCTGTCATTCTATTAGCAAATAGTACTTGTTTTGTAGCAACAGAGTCAAATGCTCTAGAAAATCCAGTGTTCTGAATGTCTTCTGGATGTTTCTGGTACACCCTTTGGATGTGCCACAGAGCTCCCACAAAATAAAGACTGCCTGCTCATTTTTCACAGTGAGCTTCTCTCACTGTGAGAAGTGAATAAATAAAGACTGCCTGCTCGTTTTTAACAGTGAGCTTCTCTGTGGAAAAAAGAAATTAATTACACATCTTCTTTTATTTAGAAATATGGAAATTGCACTGTGTGATCCAGCAGTTGATAATTGTCTATAATTGTCTATATGGACTACAACAAGCAGTGGCCATAACCAAGCAGTGAAACTTACAGCTATAAAAGAAAAATTGTCACAGTCCTACTTATTTTGCAACTTTTCAAACAAAAAAGCAAAGCAGGAGCAGGATTAACCTTCACCTGACTTTAACTGCTGTTTGATTCTGTGTAGGAAAAAACTGCTTTCAGCTGTTCTTCTCTGTGAAAAGCAGAAGACCCTCTGCATCACTCTATGCAGCATCATCATGGTCATAATCATAATCAGGATAAACCCACCTGCTAGCAGTATTTCATAATAATATCAAATGATTCTCAGGATGCCACAGAAATTAAAGACAAGACGAGGTTGGCACTTATACAGGAATACAGCACTTAGACATTAATATGTGAAGGCTGACTTGGGGTATAAAATCCTTCTTTTCCTCTGCTTCTGGAAAAGCAGTCTATCCCATCTGGGTTAAATTTTAGATATTGTGCATGGCAGTCTATGAAAGTATAGTCATGTGGGAGCGATCCTGCTGGGGTTTGGATCAATAGTGTGGCTTAATATTTGGCTGCTTTCCAACTCAGCCAAAATCGACTTATCCACTCTTGTGTCTATCTGAGCTGGGAAAGGGCACCTAAAAACAGGTATGTGGATTCCCAGCTTGGTAAAGTTTAAGATTTCACTTAACAAGTTTTGGTTTTGCCTAAAGTATAATTAGAAATCAGAAAGGCAGGAAAGGTTCTGTGAAGTGGAACTTCACTCTCAGTAGATTCACTCAAATTTAGGGTGCACTTGCTGTTTTGACAATAGAACTTTTTGCCATGGGCAGAATAATAAAAATTACTCCTTGCATGCAGAACAGGGGTTCACTGGAGTTCTTCCTTAGCTAAAATATAACATTTGTCTGACACAGGCCTCATTCTTGGCTTAAAACTTTAAAACTTGGCCTTAGCTTTTCAGGAAGTTTTTTTTTTGCAAACTGAGATAACTACCTTTAAGTCTAACACTTGTTTCCAAAAGTCTGTGAGTTGGGAAAAAGAGCAGAAAGTGAAGGGGGAAGCTTGCTTTGAAAACTCCTCTTTGTTTAATTCTTATATCTTGCATGTCTCTTCCAGGTTAAGAGAGGCTGGAGCTCTCTCTGTCCATTATTAATGATCATGTTGCAGTACCTAGGGTCATATATATGCTCTTTTTTTTCACAGCTGACGTGCGGTCCACTGATCAGAGAAGAGGGCTGGAAGGAATCCCTAGTAAAGCCTGCCCCTGGCTTTCCCAGTGCACTCATTTGTAGGTGCAGGATAAATCCTCAGCTCTGCGGGAATCCATCAGCACAACTGCTGGCTGGAGAAAGGAGCTTTGAGAACCAGACCTCTGTCTGCTTCTGCATCCTGGGTTCCATCAGTCTATCAGTTTTATTTCCAGCAGCAGGAATCTCTTTTATGCTGTCTTTGTCCTGGATTCTCCTGTTTTATATGTATATTTATTTATCTTTCTAGGGACACTGCACAGTCTGTGAAAGAAAAGTTTGGAAGGAAACTCTACAATGCCTTGCTGAAGTGAGTGAATAAGTTGCTTTGCTCTGCCTTGCAGAGCCTCATGTTCAGGTGGCTTTACTTGTGCTGTTTCTGTGCTTCTGCTCTTCATGTAAGGGATTTTGACATCCATAGGAGGGCATGGTAGGAAGATATGGGACCATAAATAGGATACTTGTTTAACGGGCAAATCACAGAGAAAAAAAATAAAGGTTCCAACAGCTTGTGGTGGAAAGACTCTTAAGAGACACAGGGATGTCTAAGTAACACAAAGGCTTATTCACTGTCAAAAACTAGCTACTTCAGCTCAAAAAAGCACCAGAGACAAAGTATAATGTGTCAGTGATTCAGTCATATAGTTTCAGAAGACAGTTGGAAGTGAATGACCCAAAGCACAGGTGACATGACTGGAACTTCAGTAAAAACAAGCTGTGTCTGAAAAACAGAAGAAAGCAATTCTTTTCCTTTCTTTTTTCAAAAGTTAATTAGGAGATCAGCAAGTATATGGGAGAACAGAATATAGGGAATATAGAAAGGCCATGAAAACAAAGGAAAGGTTCATGTTGACATCAGCAAACTTCAGATCAGACCTTGTTGGCCATTTCTTCATTTTCTTTACAAAAAGGACAGTGAATCATTTGGTAAAATTGGTTGTGTGTTTCCTTTGCAGAGGAGAAATCCCAGACCTGAACAAGATTCTTGACCGAGATGACATAAGCATTATGAAAAGAGCCATCTTTTCAACTCAGGTCAGAAAATATGTTATTTGTATAAACATATAATCTAAATACTTAATGTGATGATGTAAAAGGATTGAGTATGGCATATAGCAATATGTGTGCATTGGGAAGAAGTTTTCAGCAAATACACTTCTCATCAGTAACATATAAAATCAGCTCTGATTGTTTTTAATGAGAGTATGACCCAAATAGACCTTTAGGGGAGTCCATGGATATTGCTTCAGTCACATGCATTCCTAATTCTTTTATTTTGAGCTAAGTGTGAATTTGCAGTTGTTCCTGAGCCTGGATTTTTCAAGTTTTATTAAATATGTGAAATCAAATGCTAAGGCGATACAGCATTGACTAACAATCTTCAAAATTAAATGGTGGGCCCTTCTTAAAGTTAGTACAAATTAATTTATTTTGAGGTAAATTAAGCTTATTTACATCAATGAAAAAATCTGCCGCTGTCTTCCAGTAGCCTTAGGAAATGGCAACAGAACCATTTGCCAAGAGTTTGTCTGATTTATGGATTGCCTTTTCTGTGCTCAGAGACACTCTCTGCCTCCAGTGACCACCCACAACATGATTGATGACAGCAATGACCCAATCCTCAACACCATCCGGCGCATTGGGCTGTTCAACAACCGTACAGACCGCGTAAAGGTGCATTCTGGCCACTTCATTTGAGACCCAAAATGGGATTTCTGTGAACATTCTCAGTCTGCATCACTAGCATGGGGAGAGCAGTTAAATTCTTGATAGGTGGTATTATACTGCTAGAGTACTTCTCTCTTCCTCCCTTTCCAGGAATTACAACTTGTCACTGCACAGGGATCCTCAGGTGTTGTTTAGCCAAGCTGATTTCCAGTTAGAAATCTGAGGTTAGGGAGCGGTTTCCATTGCTGCCTCCTGCACTGAATGAGTAGCTGCTAACTGCTGAAATCAAGAAAGTACCATGGGTCATTTGCACCCAGATAGAAAACTTTGACATAGATTCACTTGCTTAAAACTGGAGGTCCAAGGTTTGAGCACAGACATTCCTGGAGTATTGATTCATCTCTTAAGAGCAACACCCTGATAGCATTTTCTGTAAAAGATTAACCAGGGCTTTGAGCAGAAGGAATTCCTGTTCATGCCATGCTCATGTTTACATCACCTGTTGAAACTAAATTAGTGCAAATAAATCTTTTCCTTATTTCCATGTTTACTTTGTCAAACCACAGAAATTATCAGCTTCTGCTTTCACAGGTCTGCCAAAGTTGTTTTTTTCCTGGCAATCTCTGATATTCTAACTATGTCTATCTCAACATCTATCTAGTCGAAGTTGAACCTAAAATTGCAAATTCTTCCTCTTCCAAACCTTTTATTTAAAGCCAGATCCAAAGTATCTCTAACAATGACATATCAATTATTCTCAGTTTCTTTTTAAACCCATGGCTATACCTGAGTAAATATTTTCTTATACTTCCTAGTTGCTTCTTCCTGGCTTAACATACGAGCATTAACTCCAATAAATTCTGGGATCATCATGTGGTAATGATACACAAGATGTAACAAAAGTAGGGGGGAAGGATGCACTGTGTACAGATGTAGTAAAAAATGCCTCAGAATTAACTGCTTGAAGGCATTACAGAGCAGATAGGATATAACACAGCAGACACAATGATCTACTTCTCAGCAGATGTCAAGTTTGTAGAAATCTGTCATTACCCTGAAAAATTACCTCCTGCATGAACAGGCTTAATACTTAATGAGCTGAATACTATTTGAAAAAACATCTGTAAACTTCAAATTGAAAGTAATTTTGAGAGAGGTACAACATATTCAAGCAGACACAGCTGGCATAGGAAAAATCCCCTCAGCAATTCCAGTGAAATCACTGGGATCAACTAAGCTTGCAAAATGAGCTTACAGCCCATTTACTGGTTGAGTACATTCATTTGTTTACTCAAATGAGTAGCATGACAATTTTATTAAGAAGGGATAAAAGACCATCCTGAGCATGGAATAATGGCTGTGGTATGTTCATGCAGGGAGATAAACCCAGAGCAGTTTAAATCATTCTCTCACATTTTAACCTCCCAAAGCTGACTGGGAACCACATACAAGGCACTTCTCAACAGCGCAGCAGATGTGGGGCAGTAACCCCAAACCCTGCAGAGTCATGCAGATAAATTAACTTTGGTCCTTAGAGGTGTCTTTCAGCAAGATTAATTAGGCACAGGTTTGTGGTGACAGGGCTATAATGTGCCTGCTTTCAAAATTCCATCCATTCTTGGGAGATCTGTTGAGTACAGTGAACATTCCTTTATCTCAGGGAATGCTGTGAAGTTCAAGAAATGCTGTGTCTGTCTGAGGCCTCCTCCTAATGAGACATCCCAGTAAAATTGTAGCATGATTTGTGTTGGGAGGGACCTAGAGATAATTTCATTCCATCCCCCTGTCATGGGCAGGGACACCTTCCACTAGCCCAGGTTGCTCACAGCTCCATCCAACCTGGCCTAGGACACTTCCAGGGATCCAGGGGCAGCCACAGCTTCTCTGGGCAACCTGTGCCAGGGCCTCACCACCCTCACAGGGGAGAATTTCTTCCTGATATCCAATCTTAACCTGCTCTCTAAGAGTGCGAAGCCATTCCCCCTTGTCCTGTCACTCCAGGCCTTTGTAAATCCTCCATACCTTTGTACAAGAGACCAAATCTTGCTAAATGCCTTAGGCCTAATTCTCAATGCATGTGGGCCCCCTTGGTGAAGAAAGATAAAGCTAAATACCTGTCCAGTGAAAAGGGGGTTCATCATCAGTCCTATTTCCAGGACAGGAGTGCACACAGGCAGGATGTGTTGTAGTGTGAGCAGTGGGGTCGATAGCAGATGGATGGCCAAAGGAGATGTTGTCCAGATACTTAGAAAAAGACCAGAATGAATAAAGGTGCCTAAGTTTATTGATAATTGAAATATAGCAATGATGGTTTTCTTTCACCTCTAACATAAGTTTTGAATATCCAGGTGATCCTACATCCAGAGTTTCTTTCTTCAACAAGCCCCTTGCTGCCCTTGGACTATGAGGAGTTTGTTAGAGGCTGCCACCTTGGTGTATTCCCATCATACTATGAACCCTGGGGCTACACTCCAGGTAGGAATTTTGTACCCTTAACTAGTGTAGAAAGATGAACACCCATTCTGTTGCTGCAGCCAGTTCCTTCTGAAGTTCTCCAAAAACTCTTTAAACTCTGTTTCCTCTGCCATGCAAAGGTCCTACTGCTGGCAAAATGTCCCTGCAGTTTACTCTTTCCTGTACTAATGTGTAATCTTTTGATTTTTTTTTATGGCTTTAGAACAAGAAATAATTTTTAAAAGTTAATTCTTGGTTAAAGGATTTTTAAAAAAGATGTGCAGGAATGTAAATATTAAAAAAAGCAGGGCAATAAATCTGATGCTGCCAGCTGACATAGTTCAGTGGATTTAATTCAAAGATAACAAGTTTGAGAGAATTATGTAATACCATAGTTATTATTTAACAGAAATACATGCAGTGGTAGTGAATCTCATTGAATTAACTGAAAACTTCTAAAAATGCAGACAGCATATAGATTCTGACTAAAATATTCTCTTTGTCAATATCCATTTGTGTCTCCCAGAAACAAAGACTGCTTTTTAAAGGTATATTTATAACTATTTTACAGACACCAGTTTTATTGTCATATGAGTGAAGGCCATGTAGATGTCTCTGTGCTTTTGTAAGACTAGAGTCTGCATGCTGGTTTAGGTTAGGCTTGGGTCCCTTGGCAAAAACTTTTTAAGGAGAGTAAGCAACTATCCTTACTCATGGATGTGACAGAAAAAAAAACTACAAAAAATCTATACATATTCTGATTTTATAAAACTAGCTCCACATATACTGTGAATGTAGTCCTGAGTTAATCATGGGGTTTGTTGTTTTGGCATGGGACTTTTATTTTGGAGGGGTTTTTTTTCCTGCTATAGAGACCTGTTGGCAAACTATCGAAATCCAAAGGTTGATGTGCTCCTGCCCCTAAGAGATTCAGTTTTGTAAAGAGTTGTGAACAACTAATGAACATAGGTGTACATTAGGCTCCAGTTTAAAATCCAAATAGTCCTGACCATGTAGTGGGGTTCTCTGTTTCGAAACTGCACTCCCAGAAAGTTTTCAGTTTAGCTGCTCTGAAACACAAACATATGTTTGCAAACACAGGGTGAATTTTGTGTTTAAAATTTCTTTTTATATTTTTTCCAATAATCCACAACAAAGCATTATTATAGTTTTCACTTGACATTTTCAGAGCAGCTTTATTGTTATGGGACTGTCTGTCTGCCTGTTTTGTTGGTTTTTTTTCTCATAAAGGTGAAACCACTGCAGGTGTATTGTCCTGAAACCCTTTTTGCCTGTTTCTTTCTGCAGCTGAGTGTACTGTGATGGGCATTCCCAGTGTAACCACAAACCTCTCTGGATTTGGCTGTTTCATGCAGGAACATGTTGCTGACCCAGAAGCTTATGGTAAAATCTTTAACAGCATATCAAAATATCACTTCTGTGTTAGGAAAGCAAAAAGCACAGCAAGCATGCTGTTACCCCTCAAATTTGTGTTTCTCTAGGACAAGGAAATGCATTAGGGGAATATATTCAGAGCTCTGAATATCTTGTTAAGTTGAACAAGTGATTTCAGCTTTCATATTTATCCAAATCCTTTATGGTTTTGGTTTTTTTTTTTGGTCTCCCTTTCACCTTTTGTTTTCCATATTCTTCCAAATTCATCACTGCTCATATCAGTCTGTAGTCTCCCTTTAGTGCCTCTGGTTATAATGCTCTAAGCCTTCCAGAGAAGCTGGGAAAGTCTGCTTCTCTTAATAGTGTGGAATTTGAGACCAGTGGCATGACCCTCCCCAAACAAACATTAAATTACCATGTACACTTAAAAAAAAAAATCCATGAAAATACAAGGAATCTACTTCAAATAAATAGTGATCTGCTCAGGTTCATAACTGGAGTGCCAATGCCTGGTATGTCAGGATGATTCTGCCTCTTGAGTCCTCCTCTGCCTCAGTAGCTCCTCCTTTTAGGGTTGTTTGTCCCTGTTTTCCAGCTGGTGCAGTTGTCACTAAAGCTGTGGCCTCCCCGAGGTACAGAGCAAAGGCACAGCCCTCCCTGTCCTTTCCTCCTTGCTTAGCCAGGGCTGACTGGAAGCCCCATCTCTGGAAGTGTCCAAGATCAGGCAAAATATAGCTCTGAGCAACCTGGGATAGTGGCAGGTGTCCCTGCCCATGGCAGGGATTGGAACTTGATGATCTTTAAGGTCCCTTCCAAGCTGACCCATTCTGTAATTCTGTGGTTCTGTGAATATTGAGCACATTCCCAAACCAGGGCCTCTTTCCAAGTACCTGGGCTTGTTTCCACTATCAGGCAGTGACAGCCCCACACTGGTGCCACCTTTGCCTGACCTAGAGGCAAGGGTTAGAGCCAGGTACAAAATCTAGATAACCTGCCCGGGTGAACATGTCTTTGAGACCTTTCCGAGACCACAGAACACAGGTCACCTGCTCTTCTCTGCCAAAACATAGGTGTGAGTTGTATAAATTACTGTGCTGGTCCCAAGCACTTCATTAAGGTAGTTTTGCATCTCTCATGTCCATTAAGAGAGCTGCAAGGTCTGGCACCCTCTTCTTCCCAACACTCTGGTTTAAGGAGGGTGGCAAAAATAAAGTATTAATCTCAACAATGTAGAGGCAAAGTTTACCTCTGCCCTCTCTCTGCCAGAATTGTCTGTTGAATGATGTATGTGAGTTAGCTGTCTCCATGGAAACACTTGTATTTCTACAGAAAACACAGCCTCTCTCCTACAGCCTGATTCTGGCCATCCACACTTGTGAATTCTACAGCAAGCTAGGAAAGCACTAGATTGATTATGTTTTCTTTAAGAAGTCAGTATTTTTAAAATTATGGGAAATAAAAATTATATATCTTTATCCAGAAACTAGAACCTTTTTGGACATACTTACACATCATCAATAAACCCTCTGAGTTTTGAAGAATTTGCTGAATATCAGCCTGAAAAGTAGAAAAAATTAAAGTTTAAAAAAAAAGCATATTTCTCTGCATCTTTCCATTTCATCAGCGTGGTAACAAATGTTCCAGTTGTAGCTGCCTTTTAACATTAAAAAGAATATACTGCATGTAACATTTGATATCTGACAGAAGGTAGATGGGAGGTGTATGAGGTCAGATCCCATCTTCAGTCCCACTCACCTCGGCCTCCCCTGTGTCCCTCAGGGATCTACATCGTGGACAGGAGGTTCCGCTCGCCGGATGAGTCGTGCAACCAGCTGACCCAGTTCCTGTACGGGTTCTGCCAGCAGAACCGGCGCCAGCGGATCATCCAGAGGAACCGCACCGAGCGCCTCTCCGACCTCCTGGACTGGAAGTACCTGGGCAGGGTGTGTGAGAAAGAGGCAGTAAAAACTCCAGGCTCGTAGGCCTGGCCAGAGCCCTCAGCATGGTGCTGCAGTGCGAGCACACAGCCCTGTGCTGAAATTCCCCTCTCCAAGGGGATAAAGGCAAAGCCTGCACATTGCAGTGTAATCCTTCCGTGCTTCAGTGGCAAGGAGAGACTGAACAGGTTAGAGCAGAATCCAGTCACACCACCGAGCTCTTGCTGGTGCTAAACACAATGTAAAAATCTGGTGGTGTTTGCAACACCCACACTAAGGAGGATTTGTGTTCCTAAGTCATCTGGACACTTTCAAAAATCTTTCCCATCCTCCATGAAATGTTGCTGGGCTCTGTGGCTCCTCAACACTCCTTAAGTACCTCTGTACTTTAAATGCAAAGTAGTGTTTTTAATTTGACACAGGGCACTACAGTACAACCTATTCAGAAGACAGTAGTGAAGTATTGTTCTCAATTCTGCAGGACTAAAGAAGTGGATGCACATATATGAGTTTTGTAACTGTTTTGAACCTTTTCCTGCTCTGATACCTGTGTGTGAACCTTAGTATTTATATGGTTCCCAACACTGCATAAGATATAACAAGCTATTTTTTCCGTGCATGTGCTGCAAACTCAGGAATACAGTGGATCTAAAAATATTTTTGTCAAATTCTTAAATACCAGGCATCAGTGAACTCATAAATGTCACTTCTCTGTTGCTGTTACACATGCTTCAGTGCAGTCCAAAGTGACTTTGAATGAGCCTAAAACTTATGTGTAATACATATGCACACTTAAAAATGTAAATTTTCCTTGTTAAAAAAAACCCCACAATTCTTTCCTGAGGGATGAAGAATACCTGTCACTCAAGAGGAACCACACTGACCAAGACAAATCCTAGTTTCCATTTTAATACATCTTACAGACACCTTATTCAGCTTCTGCTCCAGACCTCTTTGGTGTGAATCTGTCATGAATGGCTCATCATTTCACAGTACAAGCAGTGATATCAGCTGGATTCTGCTTATCTAAAAACATGTTTAGCCTTTGTTCAGCACCATCTTTTAGAAAATAACTCATGTTATGTTCCTTTCCCCCCTTGCTTAAATCTACCCAAGATTTCTATGACTTGTAATGGCTTCTCTGTTGTGTTGCAGTATTACATGCATGCCAGACACTTGGCCCTCAGCAGAACATTCCCAGATAAATTTGAGATGGAACCAAGTGCTCCACCAAAGGTAAAGTCTGCTTTTGGAGATGAGTTCATTTTGCCTGCTTTACAAGGAGAGAGAGGAAGAGTGTGAGGGAGAAGAGATTTAACAAGTTTGGGTTTAAATAAAGAGAATTAGGAACTCCTACTTAAAAGCTTAACAAGTTATAGACCTAGTCTCCAGTCAGGAGTATGCTGTTTTGGGCTGCAACAGAGTCAATTTCTCTCCCAGTAGCTGGGCTGTGTTTTGGATTTGTGCTGAAAGCAGTGCTGATAGCACAGGGATGGTTTAGCTCTTGCTGAGCAGGGTTTGAACAGAGCCAGAAACTTTTCTGCTCCTCACCCACCCTGTCAGTGAGGGGCTGGGGGTAGAGAGGGAGTTGGGAGGGGACACAGCTGGGACAGCTGACCCCAACTGACCAAAGGGACACTCCAGACCTTATGGCATCATGCCCACTATATAAAGCTGGGGGAAGAAGGAGAAAAGGGGGATGTTCAGAGTGCTGCCATTTGCCTTTTCAAGTCACTGCTACCTGTGATGGGGCCCTGCTCTTCTGGGGATGGCTGAACACCTCCTTGCCCATGGGAAGTGGAGAGTGAATTCCTTGCTTTGCTTGTGTGCACAGCTTTTGCTTTCCCTACTAAAGTGTCTTAATGTAACTCATGAGCTTTCCCACTTTCCCCTTTTGATTCCCTCCTTGGCCTTCCCAGGAGGGAGTGCGCTGAGGCCGTGTGGGGCTGAGTTGCTGACTGGGGTTAAACCACAACCTGCTGGTATCAGATCCAAACACAGGGGTTACCAGGTGGGACACAGGAACACATCTTCAGATGATTTAGACTGAGCTGGATGGGACCATGACACTTTGCACCAGCTGAGGAACTGGCCCTTGAAATTCCTCTAGGAAGAGTGGCTGCTTCTCCTTTTTGCTTCTGCTAAATGCCATGGAGATGTTCTGCACCAACCAAATAGAGGGGAGTTGGGAAAGGATGTTCTAGGGAAAGCAAGGCAAGGTATTGCCTTCTTCTGAACATGCTATGTTGGCTGGAGCTGCAAGGGGTCGCTTTAAAGACACACCTCAAACAGTTCTTGCCTAGTCCAGATTAGCACCAATTTGAGAAGAGAGGCTGCTCAGAACAGTGTTACTTAGAACCAAACCTCAAAGAGCAACTCTTTTTGTTTTTTTTTTTTTAGTAAGGAGAGAGGATGTTCAGACCAAAACCCTTTGCTGGTTTTGCAGATGCTGACATTATAACAAGAAAACCATTTTGAATGTTTAGATTGAAACCTGAATTTCAGTAAGCATATTCTGACTGCAGAGTACAGAAGGATTTTGTCCTATGCTGATTGTTTTAAGGCTCAGTAAAGGTAGTCATGTTTTGCAAAAAGCAATGCTGGAAGGGCAGGACGTTGTTTATGGCACAGGATAAGCATCTCTGTCATACAAGTGTGTATTTACTGGTAGAGGAGTACTGAGGAGGATCTGGGTTGAGGGAAATTTAATTTTAGATTGCAGGGCAGGTCTAGCTTACATATGACTTCCACTGGCTTCCTCTGAAGTGATGATAGCCTTAACCTTAAATAAGGTATAACCTTATTTATAACTTAAAACCTTAAATTGCTGTATAAAACCAATGGAGGAGCTCAGCTGACACATTCACCTTGCTTCTGTCCCTGGCAGACCGAAGGTTTCAGGTTCCCCAGGCCTTCATCGGTGCCGCCATCGCCCTCTGTCTCCCAGCATTCCAGCCCTCACCACAGCGAAGCCGAGGATGAAGATGAGGATGAGAGATACGATGAGGATGAGGAAGCTGAAAGGGATAGGCAGAACATCAAGTCCCCCTTTTCCCTTGGAGCCTTGCCACAAGGAAAGAAGAAGCAGCATGGAGAATACAGGAACTGAACTGGTTGCTCTCCCCATCCACCCAACAGTTTCTCCTGTAGGCTTGGCAAGCTTTGTGTTAAGGACAGTGTGATGTAATTAGGGGAAGCTTAAATGTTACTTGAGCTACACTTTTGGAAAGCCTATTATTATTTCACCTTGAAAGTAGTTTAAATGACAATTTTTCTGTGCCCCTTTGAGGTAGAAGAGATTTTTCAGGCTTAATAAAACTAGAGGATGAGACAATACCCTCAGGAGCTTATACAAACTGCAAATCATACCTTTGTCTGTGGAATCAACTGTATTAATCATAGTCTAGACAAATAGCTACATTTTGGGTATCCCAAAGGAATTTCTGCTTCATTTATGTTTCCCCTTTTCCCCTCCTAAACTAACATGAACTTTAAACCAGAGCTCAAAAAATTAGAGGGAAAAAAAGAGTGTTACACTGGAGAAATATTGGAAGAGTTTAAAAAGATACACTGAAAAGAAAATGGTCTTTCTTTTTCCTGATGCTGTTTATTGTAAGCTTACATAACATTTTTTTACAGCAAACAGAAGTGTCTTAATCCAGTGGTAAAACATACTTCCTGTGGAACAATATAATGTCTTATGCAGTGGGCATTTGAATTTTAGAGACAAATGAAGTCATCTTTCTGACATCATTTAGACCCACAATAAACAGCAGACCATTTATTTTCTGATTCCTCTGGTATGTCTCTTTTATTTTCATCTTGTTGTAGATTCTAGGTTTGTTAACAAACTGGTTTGGGAGGAAATTAATGTAACTTGGCTAAGGGGAATGACAAAATTTCCTTGAGTGTCACCTTCCCCTGCAGACAAGAAGCCACACAATGTGACAACATTCAAGGATCAGTAATTTCCATTAGTCCATGCTCTATTTCACTTCTTCCAGAAGAGACCTAATCCTAACAAATAATGCTAAAAAACTTCAAGATACAATTTTGAAAAGCACTTGAGACTTCAAAGTTCTTGGGAGATAACTGATCCTCACAACAAGAGCTAAACGGTTCATTTGCCTTGCAGAAAACTTTTAGAAGTATTTCAGCTCCTAGAGATGCAGAGAGTGCCTGAAAGGGCTCTTCAGAATCACATCTTGTTGTGAGGAGGTTAGAGATCAATCTCTTGTTTTTCAAGTTTGTGCATCAAAAATTTCTCATGCTGCTCAAGAAGAAACATTTCCAGAACTTTATGCAGCCTGTTCTTCAGCAGGTGGGACAATGTAAACTTTGGAGGTTTTTACCTTTCCTGTCAATCCCAGGGGGAGCCTGGATGCCCAGCTTTGGTTAGGCTCCTACCTTTCAAACACTTAACCAATGCTTGATGACATGGTTCTGACTACAGGCCACTTAGAATAAAAGTGACAATGTGCTTATTTGTGTTTTTGACCACCTAAAATCAGTTTTAAATCTGAATTTATAACCTTGAGCTGATTCAGATACTTGAAAAAATATTCTCAGAAGTCAGGTTCCAGTTTTTATGGTAAAAACTTATTTGGAATCTAAAGGAGTCACTATTTCTGTAGCCATTTAAAAGGTAATTCAACATTAAGTAATTTTTTATATACAAGTGGTGAAAGCAAAGATACTGCAAATCTTTTCTTTCACACAGTTTACTATGTGGAGAACTGCATTTTGTGTTTCTTCCACAATGTGCTCCTCATCAGAGTTCCCTTAGAGAGTCAAAAAATGTAATGGCTGAGAGTCCCAAAGAAGGAACATACAAAGGGCATATTGACTGAAAGTTGATTTTCATAAATAAATTGAGAAATCTGTACTTATTGCTTGTATTTCTAAGCTCTGCTGTAGAGCAGGAAGGCTGTGTATGTTTCAGCACACTCACATGCTTTGAGCACCCTCCTGGTGTTAGAAAGTGCTCAGATTTGAGGTAGGACCAATCTGAATTCTCAGATTCAGGTCCTGCAGTGGCCAAAGCGACCTCTGCCCCATGCCTTGGACTCGTGTTAGCTCTGCCTTGATTCCAGGATTAGTAACAAGGCAATTTATCTACAGCTAAACACTTCTGTGTGTTGAATTTATAGCATTGGAGGAACAGCTTCTCATTCAGCCACAGCAACAGATTGCCTAAATTAAGTGCCACACATTCCTAACACCTGACAAACTTGGTAGCAGCTATCTGTTACATAAGGGATTGTCTTCCAGATGGAAATCACTGGGGTTTCACAAACAGCTCACCAACAAGGCAGAAAGTCTATTCTGTTTCATGATATTTGTGAAGAATTGTTTAAGCTTGAGACCTTAAATCAGGAGCACACACAAAAATCAGTCAGCTGGGAATAGGGTGGATGCAGTTTCTGTATCCCTGGGACAGGCAGAAGAATATAAATTTCAGGACACTGATGAACCAAAGGATGTGTAACTCCTCTACTTCTCACTTTTCTAGTGGAAGGTGTCCCAGCATTTGGAACTGGATATCTTTTAGGTCCCTTCCAAACTAGGCCATTCTAGGATTATGTTCTCTTAATCCCTGCTACTTTTTGTCTGAGCACAAATCCTGTAAAAGATGCTGGAAAATCACTTAGATGCACCTGAGATATTCCAAATATGCTGGAAACAAAGGGCATCTAAAATAAAGAAAGAATTCAGGTGGATACCACTGGTCTTGAGGTGAAGTTCATAATGAATGTTCTGTCATACAACAAACACTGCCATTGGAAGATATATCAGTGCTTAAAAGTGAACAAAACAGGACACTTTGCTTTCACCAGCTCCTCAGTGGAGTGATGCAGATTATAGACAATGACTGAAAGTGCCTCTAACCCCATGAAACAAATAAATTCCTCTATTCCTTCAGCTGTGTGTCTTTGTGTTGAGGTAAAGCAGCACCATAGTTAGTGTGAGTTAATCAGCAGTATTATGAGAAAGATCAGGGGAATTTAACATTAAAAGATGAGGAGCATGACTAGAAGGTTAAAAAAATAAAACAGTTGCTTGGACACAGAAATCATGTGGCTACTCTTTAATTACATCAGAATGGCAGAGAGCTTTCCAGTGAGACCACAGAACTACATAAATAATACATCCTTATCAGCACAGAATGATATCACAGAATGAAATTAACAGATTTATGCATAATTCCAGTTCTGCAACTCAGAAAGAAAGAACAAAAAATACAATCACAAAGCAGTCTTTAATGAGGCCTTGATAATGCAAGACCTGTCCCCAAACTATCTTTATGTGCTGGGACTTGTTCAGTAGGATTTTTCAGAGTATTTCTGCAGGGGTGGACTGGGGCAATAAGTGCTGCTGCCTGTTCTCTGTGCTGACTGATACCTGCCAAATAAAAATTTAAAAGAAAAACAAAACACCAGTTTTGCAGTCACAGACAGCTGGAATGTTTTTATATCTCACTGAATTTTTTGACCATCAGCAGCCTACAGGGCCACCAGTGAAGTAGTACTGGAATCTGTCTTTATCAGGGTTCAAAAAGCTTCACTATTCAGCTGAGTGGAAGGTGGTAAAAGGTTTCCCAATAACAATTGAAAAACTTTTTTATGAAGTTGTCCAAAAAGACAGTTTTAATTATCTTTTCAGGTGAGCTGATGCCATGTATTTTAAATTTCAGATGAGACATACAAAGTGCTTTAAAGAAAGCAGGAACTTTACAGATGCTTTCCTTATCTGAACTAGTACCTTTTAATCCCTTTGGATCCAAAATTTTGCAATGTGAAAACACCTCACCCTTTGGGAACTTCAGTGAGAATGGATGAAACACTTTACTTACATAAGTTATGCTTTCAGGTTCAAAGCTGTACAAATGTTAAAGGCATTTGAAATAATTTCACCAATTTAATAGACTGTCTGTCAAGTAGCCAGGGTGTTCACTGTTTTCTTCTTCCGCTGTAAGACAAGACACAATGGGGAGAAGTAAGTTGTAGATGAAGGAAAGTTCAGCCAGCCAAAGTTTTGAGCTTTCAGATGTGCCTTAGGCACAGATTCAGTGCAGTGTGACTGCTCAGCTAAGAGAGACAGAGGCAGCATCTCTAAAAACAGTCATGTATTCTCTCATTTTTAAATGTAGGAATTTTTCTGTTTGCTGAAGAAGAAAACTACAAACTGTGTCCAGAGGGGTAAGTTAGCACATGGCAAAAAAAAATCATGCTGAAGAAAATAATAGATTTGTTCTTCATTTGTGCATTGCTCTCAGTCAGCTGATCTGAAAGTGCATGGCTTACCCAGGTTTGACTGGTTATTTCCTACCACAGAGATGGAAATGTTACTCTACCTAGTTTTTTTTCAAACAAGCTGCCAGTTCTGCTTATCTCTCTCAGATATTTCACCCTTTTTCTCTGTTGCTGTACATCTCCCCTGCTACAGCAACAACAGGCAGGAAAATACCACTAAAATTTGGAAAAATCCACCTTCAGCAGAGGCTTTTGTGGGTATGCAAATGGCACTTTCACTGGTTTAACTTTAGAAGTTCTCACATATTTTGTCCAAAGCACTGTGCTCATTTTTTTATTCTGCATTTTCTCTCTCCAAAATGCCACTGATTTTTTTTTTTTTTTGGTTGGTTTTTTGTTTGTGGTGGGTTTTTTTGTTTTGGTTTGGTTTGGTTTGGTTTGGATTTTTGTTTTGGTTTGTTTATGTGGGGTTTTTGTTTGATTGGTTTTTTTGGTTTTTTTGTTTTTTGTTCAGAGTTCTGCCAGGGCAGAGCACAGAGCCCCAGCTCCATTTCCCAAAAAAAAAAGTCTGTGGTAGCTGGAGAGGTGAGAGATTTAAGGGCAGAGGACCTGGACAGCAAAGGTTTAGGGTCTCAGCCTGGTGATGTGAAACCAGCAGCTCCTCTCCTGGTGTTCTTATGGATTCTTTTAAACCTTTGCACCAAATCCAGTGTGGGAATAAAATTTTCACAAGCAAACAATATGCTATAGAAAAAGTTACTCCAGAAAAGGTTTGGGGTGAAAAACTCAATTGAAAAATAGCCATTCCCTTGAATCCAAACCAGTAAAACATCCAAACAGAAAATTAAAAGCAGAATACACAAATATTTACCTGCTATCATTATGTGGCTCATGTTGTAATCTGTCTAAATGTGCACTCCAATACAGGGCTCTCTGTTGAACAATATCTCAGTTCAAAACAGACCTTCTAGATTAATTTGCTAGTAAATGAAATACTGAAAAGGCACTTTAAAAAAGAGTAAGACAAAACATGCATTTACCTTCCTGTGCTTTCTGTAAGGAAGTAAGGAACAGCACAGCAGCTTCAGAAAGGGATAAAGGATTTCTGTTATGGCTGCGTGTTTCTAGAATGAAAAATCAGACATGCATGGTTTGTTAGTGTCTTATAGCATTTCTTTGTTCTTTGCTTTTTTATTATTTCTATAACTAGAGAGTCAAAGACAAGAAGATATTGTCTCCTTCATTCTATAGCATTGTCTGCTCAAAACCAGCCTGATAATTAACACAAGAGATTAGCAATCTTTTTAAAAGGGAAGTTATTTCAAAATCCCTTAGAAGGTAAAAAGAACATTTTCCTTTTTTGTAGGTTCCTAACTTTTTTACAACATCCTGTTCCCTCCAGAAACCTTGCCTAGTGTGGATTGATGACATCTGCTTCTATCATTTGTCGCTTCAGCACAATTAATAGCTTGATTTGATTCTTTTTTCCAGTGCAAAAAGAAAGTCAAAAGCACTGATGAAAATCCCACTTAGCAGCCAGGTCAGTCTGGAAATTATGTAAATGAAATCACACAGGTGCACCTGAGAGGGAAGTCAGCCTTTGTCATGTGCTGGTTGGAATGAAGGCACTAAAAGAAGGGGGTTTAGTTGTTTCCTTGGCTGTGATTCCAGGAAAACAGATCCCCTTCCCTTTCCAGGGATTTCTCCCATAAGCTGGGGAGGTGGGTGGGCTCCACAGCCCCGTGCTGATGGACTCACCCAGCTGCACTCTGTCATACAGGTCCTTCCTCTGGCCCTCATCTGCGATGAACCGACGTCCCTCTACAGAAGCAGTGAGACAAGGGTGAAAACAGCCCCCAAACTTGTTGTAATTCCTACTTCATAGTCCCTAAAGGACTCTTTTCAATTTTGTATATGGTCAAGAACCTTCAATCTCTTTGCTGGACTATGAAGTCTTGGCTTTTAAATAGCATTTTTATTAAAAAAAACCAAACAAACCCATCCCAAATCCCAAACTAACAAAATAAAATCACACTGCTTCCTGTGCATCAATAAGAATGAGAAAAACCTCACTAGGGAAGTAACACAATGCATTATTCCGTTGGAAGAATTTTTAAAAAATAACAAAAAGGGCCAAAATCTTCACTTTTATTAATAGAAATAATTGTATTAATGTCACTAAAACTTTCAGTTGTCTTTACAGTTGTTTGGAGCTTATATTGATTTTATTTTGCAGTTATTTATATTGTCTCCCTTTTGCATTTCACTCAGGATTATGACCTTCTTTTTCTTTTCTACAATTTACAGGGAGGTTTTTTTCTTCCTCTCTTTATACCTGCCCTCCCTGATATCTTTTAATTTTAAATCAACAATTCAGAATACAATTTTTCATATTAATATATCTGTTATATTTGATGATTTGGATCAAAGGACAACATCTCTAACTAAGTACAGAATCTGAGGATATTCTGATGGGAAGGACCCACAAGGGGCATTGAGTCCATCTGGGAAGTGAATGGCCTGTACAGGGACCAAAGGTGTGACCATAGCATAATTAGCACCATGCAATTAGCACATCCTCCCTGCAAGTCTCAAGACTTCTACCCCCCACAGCATCCTCAGCATCTCCTGCTTGTGTGGAACCAAGGAATAATCCGGGGTGGGGAAAATTATCTCCTCAAAATGGAAAGAGCTCGAGACTTACGTGCGCCCTTCAAATAGAGCATGGCCTGAGGAGTCCAGTTTCTCCTTTGGAAATGAGCCTTTATGCCCAATAAAAAAAAATATTTAAAAAAAAGAGGGAAAAGAGATGTGTCAACATTCCATGCCATTGCTAATTAATGCAAATACTTAAAGGCACCAAGCTCTGAGCTTCATGAGCTCCATGCTGGGCTCACCTGAGGGGCGCTCCAGGAGAAGGTGAGGAAGGACGCGGCCAGGAGCAGTGCCAGGGCAGACACTGGGGGTTTCTGCAGCCCCTGTGCGCAACAGAGAGCCACAAGGTGCAGGAGGAGTCTTTCACATCTGCACATCCTCCCAACTTCACATCTAAAGTGTTCCCAGCTGCTGCCTTGTCCCTGTCTTGCTGCCAAACCTCCTCTTGCTCAAGGGGGGTTTCAGTGCACCCTGATCTGATCAGAGGATTAACCTTAAATTGAACTTTATTCTTTTTACTCAAATCTATTCCATCCTGGTGAGAGCTGCAATCAAGGCAAGCAACTTTTGTGGTCCTATTTACAAGGACATCAGAACCTTCAGAAATGAGGATAATGTACAAAGTAATGGGTAAAGATGCTATAAAATCTACCTTGATTTTACCAAACCATAGACAACAAACAAATGTAGGGGGCTTGTCATTCCAAACAAACAAACCAAACAAGAAACAAAATCTCTACTTCCCCAGGTTAAAAAAAAAAAGGAAAAAAATGTTTTAAATTTAGCATCCTATCAATATCAACCATGATTAAAACAAGTCACAAGACAAGTTTTTTTTGATTCTTGGAGGTTGTTCACTGATGCAGCACATGCAAATGGAAGCATTGAGCATGAATCCTCTGTGCACAAGTTGCACCTCTGCTTGTTCACACAGACCATGTTGTTATTCATGTATTGGTAACAGTGATGGGCACCAGGGAATCTGTTTGTTTCATCCTGGGTTTGAGAGGTTGTACTATTGGTGTATTTTTAATACAGTTGTTTAAAATACATATATCTATGTGTGTATTTATTTTGGGTTATTTTTAAGGAAAATTTCTTAAGCCCCCCACAGTTCCTAAATATTGCACTCACATGAAAAAGAAAGCATTAATTGCAAACTAAATGTTTGCTACAGACCAAAAAATTCTCACTTACCGTCATACTTATCTCGGTGACAAACCTTCAGTCCTCTTTCCTTGGGATGATGTGTTACAAGATCTCCTTCCTACATGGCCAGGGGTCCCTTTTTAAATCTTCAGAGTGGAGATGCCCTCCCCTTCCGTGGCAGGGCGGAGGAGTCTGAAGGGATCTCTTGTCAGCCCTGTAGATGGAGAAGCAGAAGGTCTGATGACTCCTGAGGGAAACCTGCAGCCTTGCAGGAAGTCCTGATTGAAATGATTGAAGGATGGATGCACTTGGAGATGCACCCCATTAAACAGATGAACACCTCCTGAATACATCAGCACCAGCCCTGTGCGTTTGCACCGCTCACATTCCTGCTGTATGATCAATAATCACAGCCAGAGTGGGTATTAATATGGATGCTGAGAGTTTACCCAGGATAATCTACAATAGATCAGATTAGCATCCATTGTGGGAGCTGGAAAAGCTGGTAAATTACTCACCAGCATCAAGAGAGAAGTGACTTACCCAGTGTCACTAGCCAGAAGTTATTCCTTGCATACATTCAGAGGATGTAGTCTGTGGTTTGATTCTTTGATGATCTTTTGCATCTAGTTTTCTTGCACACAAGTATAAAGCTTGACAACAGCAACAACAAAAAAGACCCAAATTACCCTATAAATCCTGAAGTCCTAATAGTCAGAAACGCTTTTCTGTCCCATGGATTGGCTGGAGTAAAAGTCCAGCTCATGGGCTTGAATAGGTTAAACAGTGGAGCAGTGAACAGAAAAAAGAGAGGGATCAGGGAAGTAATTTCCATGAGCTACTTCTGGGTGATTGTTGGGCTCATTGCAGTCATGGAGAGTTGCTTTGGTCCTCAGGCAAAGAGTTAATCACACTGGATGCCTGGCCTTGCTTGCTCTGTAGCTAGGGTTTTCCTCTCTCCTCCTGTACTTTTTCCTTTGTAAACTTGACGGAAGCAGAAGAAGAAGCAAAGCAAACAGGGAGGTAGAAATCTGCTGATTGGAAGATTGGCCAATGGAAAGTTTACTGCAGCAGCCTCACAAACAGAGCCAGCCCATGGTGTGATAAAAATCCAGGTTAGGCCATGCGTGTGACAAACACTGGCTCCTGGATGGGGAGTTGAAGGAGGAGTGTGCAGACAGACACTGCTGCTGCTCGCTGTGAACTCCTCCCCGCCACTGTGTGTCTGTGGACACTGCTCCAAAGCACATTGTTAAGTGAAGGTGCAATTGCTGTCCAGCTTTTCGCGGGTATCACTCTGTTCCCTGCCCATGCCACCAGAATTGCTCACTGAATATACAGCACTGCCATCAGCTGCAGCTCGTGCTGGTGTAGAGGCAAGAAACCAGGGGGAAGTTCAAGTTTTGGTCTCAAGCAGCTCCTGTGGTGGCTGGGAGCTGCTGTTACCCTTTTTAAAAGGCCATGCCCTGATGCATCCTAGCAGAAGGGATTCTGCTTGCATCTACTTCCCTTGTGAAGTTTCTTTTCCCTGTGCTCCGACAGATCAGAGACATTTCTTGACGATGCTTAACCCCTGGGCTTAGAAGGGGACTGTGCATTTCATCCAGGAGACATTTAGCATGCAGAGGCTTGGAAAAGGTAAAGCTACCCCCCTATTGCCTTCTGGAGTGACTTCAGACCTTCCTGTTATGCACAGACCACGGGGCTGGAATCAAAACTTCCAGCTGAGCCTGTGAAAATTAACCCCCCGCCTTTGGGATTGGCAGTGTGTAGTATGATCTCTTCAGGAGGGTTCTCCTCGTGGTAGGAAATGTGTCTGGCACTGAAAAGAAACCCTGCTTTTCCTACCACTGGAATGAGACAAGATAACCCAAAAGAAACAGGGGGGCAAACCAGCTCAGCCCCTCCCATTGCAGCTGGGGAGAAGAGGAGGACAACGGGAGGCACGGAGAAAGATGTCACCACGCTGGAGGAAAACAGCTCCAGTTCTTCTTGTGACCATTTGGCAAAATCTAAGTGACACTGACTTGGTGTTGCCAGAGTCTCAGCCTCTCTTCCAAACCTGGCTGTATTCTGAGTCCCACGGGAATCCTTGTAGAGATTTGGGCTTGTTTGGAGCTGCCTGGAGGGCAGCAGGGAGCTGAACTGAGCAGATCAAAATCTGAACTGCCTCGTTATAGGGACAGGTGACCACCAGCTCAAGAACAAAAGCAGTATCTTGACAGCATCATCTTAAATTAAATGGTTTTATTGTTGTACCTTCCGATGCCTCAGTGCCACCATGGTGTCTAAAAGTCAGGAATTTAGTCATAAACTGTAGCTAGAGACAATTGACCTTGACCTTTCACATCAGATGAAATGAACCCAACCTCAAATTGCATTTCCATAATGGTTTGGGGCTTTGGGATTTTTTTTTTTTATTTTCCAATGGTTTTTATTTTTCCCTTAAATTGTCTGTACCTTTATAACTTATAGTTCTAAATCCATTTATTTTTTTCTATGACCAGTGACTCCAAGTTGCTTTGGTTTTCAAACAAAAGTGTATTTCACAACCTTCTCCTTGGAAATCTGTAAGGAGTCTGCTTGCTGAACAAAGAACTCCAGGTTTGTCAATTCTACTTCAGGGATCAAAATTTAAGAGAATTGGCTTCTCCCTTCAAAGCTTTTTCTTACCATGATTCTATGAAAAGGTGCCATCTCACCCTTTCCAGAAATCCAAGCACTTTGCATTCACAAAAGAGCTGTGCAGGTACTGAGAGTGTTTGCACTCACAGAAGAGCTGTGGCTCTGTGTGGGCACATGTGAGCTCATACTCTCGAAAGACGAAGCAGCCTATGATTGGGTCATGGATCATAACACACAAAAAGCTGTGGCACTTTGGGATGATGAGCTGTGCACCCAACACTCATTGGCAGCGCTGCCATTTCTCAGCTGATTCACCTGGAGGAGGAAGTGCCTCTGGCATGTAATCAATACCCTGAGAGAGAAAAGTAGAGGGAAGCTTGCTATAGCAGCAGGACCCCTTATTAGAAAGAACATAACCTATTCTTATTTTTTGAGATGATCTAAAGGGCACAGGCTGCATATCCTGATGCTGTAAGTGATACAAAGCTGATTTCTGGCATTGAAGTTCAGTGCTGAGGTGAGGGGAAAATGTTCTCATGTTTTAACCAATTTTACCTCACTGACTTGCATCACGACCATGCACCTTCCCAAATATTTCCCTGGAAATATAGGATAGTGTTGTATCCTGGTAAGGGCAGCAGTGACCCATGGCTTGCTCCTGAGGAGAAGGTGCAGCTGGAGTGTAGGTGGTCACTGGGGACATCAGCAAACACTGGTGCTGTCAAGGTATAAATCTCCCAGAACTTATGACCTTTGCTTTCTGCTTATTCTCATTTCCTTTGGGATTTTTTTTCCTGTTAGTTTGGTAACTCTCTGGGAAATCCATCCCACTTGTGTCTGGCAGCTGAGCAGCACCTAGCACAGTGTACTTCTGGCTCCTGAATGCCACTGCAGCATCATAATAGGCTGTGAAATGCCATGGGAGAGCCTGCAAGGTAGGAAATTACAAAGCATGTTGCATTTCATTTGCAGTAAGTTGCAGAGTAAGGCAAGCTTTCTACCAGTAACAAAGTCAAATATAGATTGCCCTGGAAGTATGTTGATTTGTTATCCCTGAGAAACTCAGAGAATAGATTAGACAATCCTTTTTTAGGAGTCATTGCCCAACTGATCCTGCCCAGACACATGGTTATGAACCGTATGACCTCTTCTTTTTGGGCTGGTTTTTGTGTTTCTGTAATCTTTCAAAGCTGATTCTGGATTTTAACCCCATATATCCCACTCAGACTAAGGAGAAATTTGTGTACAAGGTCCATATTTGCCCTGTAAAACCTGTTGACCAAAACAATCCAATTTGCAATCCATCAATACATTTTATGCCACACAAACATGTTTTTCAGTGTTATTTATTTTCATAACAGACCTTAATGTACAGAACCATGGAGTAGTTTGGGTTGGAAGACACCTTTAAAAGTCATCTAGTCCACCCCCCTACAATAAGTGGGGATGTCTTCAACTTCTCTGGGAAGGTGAATTTTCATGGTGCAGCTCTGAAGGGAAGAGATGCTCTCTGGTGTAAGTCAGGTGCATCATTAGAGGCCCTCAGTTGCTGGCCCAAATTTATTTAACTATTCTGTTGCACATTCAGCACCACGGTGTCTGTGGGTGCGTTTCAAGCACTGCAGATTTGCTGGAGAAGCTTTTTGTTTTTTCTCTAGACTGTGTGAGAAGAACTGTGCTAAAACCTCTTGAAGTAGAGAACAAGATGTACAAAACCCAGTCTGTCAGAGATGATGTAAATGTCTCACACAAGAGAGGTAACAGGGACTTTGCTGAGGACTAAAGTGTGAGCAATGCTGCAGCCAGGTCCAGGTTCTACTGTTCTCACAAGTGTGTTTGTGAAAGAGAAGCAAGGGATTATCAAGGGATAATTATAAGTAGAATTTAAATATATTATGTGGGGTGAGGGGTGTTTGAAAGCATCAGGAAAGAGTAGAAATCCACAATTTTTTGAAAGGTGTAAGCATCTCAGAAAGAGGTGTTACTTCTGAAGTTCAGGGAACCACTGATGGGATGGCACAATATTTTTTTTTTCTGAGCAATGGACAAGTCTGAGGCAAACACCAGGTTAAAAGACCAGCTGAAAAACAGTTTTCTCCAGTCTGCAGGCTGGAAAGGAGATATGGCCATCAAAGAATGGGCATTTCCAGGGTAATTTAGCAGGAGCCATAGAGCTCTTCAGACAGGCAGGATCTACTGCATGTCTTGATAATTTAATACAAAAAAAGGAATTAGTTAAGTGTCCTAATGATTTTTTTTTCACAGTTAACAGAGAGACTATTTAGTACACTATCAGCTCAAGAGACTTCAACACTTTCTTCTTCTCAAAAGTGGTGAGAGTGATGAAATTTATACAGCTCCCAGATTCCCTGTTCTAACTCTCAGAAATTAGGAGAGATCTGCTCCTGCTTGAAATTTTGCTGTAGGTGGGAAAAGCAGGAAAGAACTGCTAATAGAAGTGAGAAACACCCCAGGAACCAGAGTTTTGACACAACAATAACCTGT